ATTCAATCAAGGACAAACCGACTGAAAAAAAGTTTCTACCCCAGAGCCATACGAGAACTGAACACCGTCAAACGCTGAACTGAACAGTTACAACTTGCAACTGCACTACTTTTTAATAGTTTTATTAACTTATTAACTGATCGACATCAGAGATGCAAAATATCATCCCTGTGTTTTTTATATTGTAAACTGTATTTAAATTATGTGCGGGCATGTATGCATGTTGGTATGGATGTGTGAGCATATGTTTGTTTGTGTATATGTTTATATAAATATATATTTATTCGTTGTATGTGGAAATGCACTGCAAGGATTGCTTTTTTAAATGTCGTTGTACCTGGTGCGATGACAATAAAGGAATTCTACCTATTCTATCTATCTATAATGAGTGCCAATAATCATCTATGTGACACATGTGCTTTTTACATACATAAACACAAACATACATAGGTTACATAAAGATAATCACATCAGAATGTGCATACAATACCAAGCAAACAAACTTAAATAAGTCTCTGTGTGTATTAAATATATAGTAGTTTGCCTATAGGGTTACCAGAGGTTATATAGCAGAGAAATGCAAACCTTCACCCGGGTTACAGCGTCTCTATGACAACAGCACCACACAAACAAGTGGGCTGCACAGGAGCTCGGTACCGTTAGCCACTCTCTTCCTGGACTAATTACCGAGCCACTTCTTCTCCCTTTTGTAGCACGGAGGTGTTTTCTTTGCCATCACAGTAGCCATTTAAAACTAGCAGCAATGACGAAGAAGAAGGTCCCCAAAGTGAAGAGGGCGAAAGCCGGGTAAGTGCGTAACTTGGGTTTATGTGTAGGCTACACGTTGTATTGCATTAGCGTTCAAAACTCCAACTACACTTTTGTATTTTGTCACAGAAAAGGAAAGAAAGAAAGCAAGCATGAGTCAAAAGCGGACAAAGAGTCTGACAGTGAAAAAGCCAAGGCCAACGCTGCGCTGTGGGAGCTGAAGTTAAAGATCACCGAACAGTCGCTCGTGGAGTATCGCGAGGCCTGCCGGAAGTTAGCACGCGCAAATGAAGAGCTCACCAACCAACTGTATCGCGCGGAGAAAGAATCCATCGATATTACTGGCTTTCTGAAGAAACAAGATGCTACTAAAGCGGAGAAGGTCATAAAAACACGTTATTTATGTTTGTAAAATAAACAAGATGAATGATTAACAACGTTAAACTGTTTTTAATCTGACTCATTTTGACAGATCAGCGTGCTGCAGAGAAGCCTCAAAAATCAACAGGCACTTGCACAGGAGGAGCAAAACAAACTGGTGAGTTCATTTAAATTTAAAAAACGGCCACAAAAAAAGATAAGCAATTTTAGCTTACACCAAACATGCTGTAGCTTGCTTTATCATAGCAGAATATGACATTGCTGTAATTTACTACTTTGAGCTACTTAAAGTAGTACAAATGTGCTGCGCTGTGTCTTAACAGCTGTCTTGTGTGCAATTATATTGGTATTCATTATGTAAGAAAACAACAACCCAACAAAGCAGCCATAAAACGAAAGAACAGACCCTGACATTCCGACTTACTGGGTCTCTAATGCTATTTTAATCCATGCTAGTGGCCACAGAAGAATTAAAAGTGCTTGCACGGGGAAAGGGAGTAACACTGCTGCTGGTCCCGATGTGTTAGCCATCCATCAAAAGTCACACTTATCCTTACTTTAACAGTGTAGATTGCGTAATATACAACAAAGGGACTTATTTTGACTCCATTTATCCTCACTGACCCCTGCTGCTTGTTGGTAAGAAGATCAAGCTATCAAACTGACATGACAACGTTGAAGTGGCTTTACTCGACAAAAAGGCTTCAAAAAACTGTTGCTACTTTTGCTAGCAGCTGTTTTCCATTTTCCAACTCTTACTTCATGCTGGTAAAATTGAGTCCAATAAGCTTCTGAGAAGGAAAAAAGAGGCACGGTCTGGACCAAGTTGTAACATCCCTATTTTAGACATGTATGGAACTGTCACATATGTCCAAAAAGGGGGAAAGAACACTGTCATGTGGTTGACCCTCAACACGTGACTTCAAGGCTCGCTGTTCACAGCCCTTTTCTCATTTTGAGGTGATAATCGGGTTCATCTTGAAAATTGACTTAGCTAACAAAGAAGTTCAGTGAGCATGACCGCCTGGCTTTTGTCTCAGGAGAGACAAATTCAGCAGTAGTGTAATGAAATTCCGTCAGCCAAATTAAAACAACGGTATATACTGCACGCCATGAGAAAAAGACAGAATGCATGCAAGACTAATCCCTTTTAACTCAAAACGGGTGCTTATTTTGGGGTAGGTTGACCATTCGGTAGATCACACACACTGAGAATCGCTTATGATTCAGACCGACTTGCATCATGATTGGCGCATTGGTGTAGATGAACATACAAAGTTATGTGAAGAATAACGATTAGGCCTAACGTTGTAATCAGAGGGATGAAAACCTCTAATTTAGTCGTCATGTACATGTTTGTGGGTGGTTGTTTTTCTAGGCTCTCATGACTTTGGTCATTTTGTCACATTTTTCTTCAGACTGGCTTTTCCACAGTAGCATCTTGAGGTATTCAGCTTGACTGGTCTGTGCCTTTAAGTTGGTTGGCAAATGGGTATGGCCTGTGTGAACTCTGGTATGAAAGTATTTTCTTTCCTTACCGATTCAAACTGCACTTATGGGAATTTTTCTGAAGCACTAGCTGGGTTTTCCTCACAGTTAAAAGTCTTAGATGCAACACCCATCCAGTTTGGTCACCACCAAATAATTGTTAAAACGAGGTGGAGCGCATCTTAATTCACAAAATGACTTTTCACAGATGTAAAGTTTCAGTTGGTCAACAGTGCAGATCTTATCAAGTTTTGGTTTATGCCTTTCGGGTGTTGTTGATTTATTATCCAGCTTTTTCTTTTAACTGTGCACAGATATAACAATAGTAATTGACAAAAATGATGTTAAAATCACATATTTTTCATTGAAATATGTTATAGCGGAAGGACCCCTCATCAATGCACCCATGTCTCATCTTCCCTAACACACTGTTTAGTATTTAGATGAGCAGCTGCATTTTGAGGGTTAAGGCATGCATTTAATACTGTTGTTATAATGAATCGATATGATCTTATATGATTGTTTCTAACAGGTTGATGATTACACGAGGCAAATTAATGAGATGAAGGAACTGTTCAGAAAGAAGTCCAGTGACTTTAACATGATCCAAGATGGGATGAAGAGAATTAAGGAGTTTGAGAAGAGGAAAGCACAGATGGAGCAGGAGCTCAGTGATGTGAGGAAAAACATTTTATAGACTTTTCTATTAAAAGCAGTTGTTCCATTGGTTAATGCTACTAATAACAATAAAACATTTATTTTTTTAGATTAGAGAAAACATGGATCTTTCTGACAAGAAGCACAGGGAAAACCTAAACAAAGTGGAGTGCAGATTCTTCAAAGAAAAGGTGGGTCGAGTCTAATGATCCTACTCTGATCGATTTGGAAAAAACAGCAAAACAAAAGTGGTTTAAAAATAATTTGTGGAGACCTGGCCCACTGTTCATGGACAGATGACTGAAGATGTTATCCCAGGTGGAACAAGAAGTGATTTGTTTGCAAACTTCCCCGCAGGATCGCCTGGAGAAGGAAGCAGAGCGAACGATAGCTGTGGTGGTGGAGAGGGCCCACAATGAAGCCATTGTGTGAGTGTGTGTTTCCACTTCCCCTCTCACAATCTAATTTTATTCTTTAAACTGCACTTTTGTGTTCTCAGAACTCAAAGAAAAAAAAATGTACTCACACAAGTGTTTATGTGTGTAAATATATATATAACTAAGACTAATGTTATTTCCTTGACCACACCGGTTGGTCATGTTCAGATAGTGTACATCACCGGAGCCAATGATCACATCTCCATCCCAGAGGAGAGTGTAATGTGTGTGGGGAAGCCCAGCGTTTATTACTTTTGAGGCCATAGGATGTACATTTCGCCTCCGCTATGTTTAGTCATTTTTTTACAGCTCATAAAACATTAACATTGATACTGGTGTGGTGTGGTGTGGTGCTGCAGCTCTGGTCTTAGTGTCAGTAATTGATTTAATTTTGAACACACCCAGCTTGTCTTAAAAAGTCAAGTACATTGACCAACGTTTATGAAGAGGAACCGGGAAACTGAGAGCAAATATATGCAACATGTTTAAAAATCTTCAAATTAACACCAGGACAATTATTTCGTTTCCCATTACTGCACATATTTTATTCCAATTCTATTTCTACGATTTCAATCATATTCAATGTAAATACTGCTATATTTTACTATATTTGTTTAATGTTATTATAGTTCTCTTCAAATAGTTTTCGATCTGTTTTTAACTGTTGTTTTATTTGTATGTATGCACCACAACACCAAGTCAAAATCCTCGTATGTGTTAGCCGACCTGGTAATAAACCTGTTTATGATTCTGATTTAAATATATTTTGGCGTGAAATAAAGATTTGTCAAAGGCTTTTTCTGTTTGTATCTATATAGGCAGTTGGACGATGCCTCGCGCTCTGTGTTTAAGGAGAATGTCCGTCTGAATGAAGCTCTGAAATATCACATAAAGGAGGCAGAGGACCTGCACGCTTTGACACGTTCAATGGATAAGGAAAAGGCCTCCCTGGAACTGGACAAGGTATGTTTGAACCAAAGGATAGCAAACAGTTGTGTAACTATTAAGCCCTGACTGTCCTTGGATAGAGGCCATTCATATCCATAAACTCATATTTAAAAAATCATTTCAGCTATGAAACACTTGTCAGACCTGTGCAGAATATATTTCAGGTGGTTTTCCCCTCGTGTTGTTTACTTGTGCTGACCCTGTGTATTTTGCTTGTGGTCCGTCTCCTACCCCCCCACCTTCTGACTACTACCCAGCCTCTCAGTGGTCAGCGGTTGTGGCGAGTTTCCACTGGGGTATGGGTTCAAATTCAGTGGCTTCTCCCTCGCAGGCTTCTGGCACTGATTTCTTTAGACAAATAAATATTGGGCACATTAATCTTCCCCCCCGATGACAGTAAATGAAGGTTTCAAAATCCACTATTTTCAAACTTAGGCCACTCATGACAGCACAGGCGAGCACACAAACCATAATCTGTTTAAGATCTATTTTGGCATGGAAATGAAAGTCAGCTTGGTGTTCATGCATTTCACTACTTTGCTCTTCTGTCTACTCGTGCAGAACGTGTTTGAGTTGACGGTGAAGAGAAACGCAGCTCAGATGGAGGCCCAAAAAAAGGAGATATCCAAGCTGAGGGCCAAGGTGGCTTCACTGGAGCATGCCCTCGATCTTAAAGCTGAGGAACCTGAGATACAGGAGGAGGAGAAGGAGAAGGCTCTGGTCACCATTCAGGCCAGCCAGGTAGAACTAGACAAGCTGCAGAAAGTGCTTCACATGCGGGAGAGGGAGCTGGGGCACGTCAAGCGGCTGGCCAGCTCCATCGTGGATCAGCGCACAGAGCTGGAGCAGTTCTTCCATGAGGCTCTGGCTCAGGTGAAGCAGGAGATCATGGCCAGCAGGCAGCAATACAAAAAGGAGGCACTACAGGCTTATCGCCAGAGGCTAAAAGAAGCCACAGCAGGAAAGCTAAAGTTCCCACCCATCCGCACCTTCCATAAAGGACCTCACAGTACCAACTCTGTCTATTCAGATCTGGAGGCGGCTGCAAGGTGGTAGGTCCCCTTCTCATCATTTCAGTGACCTGTGTCTTCGTGATATTTTTAACATCTGATGTTTGTCAGTGGTCATCTCACAACATGATACATTTTGTTCAATTAAAGTCAATGTCATCCACCTGTTTTCAAGGACCCATCAACCAGACAGCAAGGTTGAAATCTCAGATCTCACTTGGGAGCAGAAGGAACAAGTGCTCAGGCTTCTCTTTGCTAAAATGAATGGACAGAGGGAAAGGTAATAAAACGCTCCAATAATTGTATTATGTTTGGCAAAAGCCGTGATCCGCTCGTAATTTGGTTATCACTCATTAACTTGATCCTAAATAATATTCTATAATCCACTTGTAATCCCTGAAAATGGCCTTGTGGATAAATTGCCTCAGAAGAACAAAGCGCAGTGACACCAAGCAGAAGCTCTGGCTGAACTTCTGGTGACTCCGCCCTCTTTTTAATGTTTTAAACAGCCATATTCTCAGCAGAAGAGGATACCATAAAACATCAGTTAGGCTTCGACCAATTTTCTTTTCCATCCAGCTGCTTAAAAAGAATGAAGAAAGAGTCTGGGCACAATAGTAAAAATAGGCCCCGCCACAGAGTCGTGTGCTTGGAAACAAACATCTGTTCACGTCCATTTGCTTTCAGCTTATTGGCCCCTCTTCACGTGCACTTGTAGTTTATTTTGTTCTTTGAACGCTTGTGGTTAGCGAGCAGCTGGTAACAGGATTTTCAGAAAGGAGTGTGCAGGGGAGCTGGATGTATCGGGGTAGGGCAGGCAAGAGAAGATGTGTATTCATGTTACCAGTGGTCTGGCACCTAGTCCTGCAGAATAACAGAACATTTGGCGACTAAGTCCAAGTCAATGTGTATTGTGTTGACCCAGTCTGACCCCGTTTCCAAGACGGGCTGCAGGCCTGACTGAATAGACACCAGGTTGCTAAAACATGACTTTTTCACTCTGAGGGTCTGTGTTTAACTGCAACTCTGCGTTTTCCCGATAGGAAAGACAGCCAACATATGGCTTTGTCTGCCTCCTCCGAGAAGAGGAGCCTTATTGCCAGCGATGCTGCCGGGTAAGACACCAAAGGAATGTACGGGAATAAAAACTTGACCTCATACTTGCAATTGTAAAGCCTGTGCAGGTGTATTGGTGCCACATTCCATGTTTAGCTTAAAAAGCATTGGCTGTGAGAACACTAGTGCCGACCTGTGATTTTATCAGAAATGCACTACAGCTTTACTTAACGATGACTGTCTTCCAGGATCAGAGAGGATCTCTCCCGGGCGACCTTCATCACCCAGGGGCCCGAGCCCACTCTGCCCCCCAACACCCTGCCAGATATACACACCACATGACCTCAGAGTGGCCTCTACATGGCACATCACACTCTGGATTGTTTGCCTCCATGCTTCCCACAGAGTGTCAATCATGTGTGTAGTAGAATGGGAGTTGTTTGTTTGTGCTAATTATAAATATCTTACCATGCATGTATATATGGCCTGTGAGTACTCGTTCATACATGGAGGGTGTTTGAATTCTGTCACAACACATTTAGAAGATCTGTTCTTCAAAACAAAACACAGTGCATCAGATAAAAACAATCATAGGAATACAAAGCTGTGTCCATGGCAACCTTCATTTATGGTATAACACTAAAGTTTCATGAAGTTTACAAAGCTTTAAAATCTGTGTTGTATTTAATGAAATGACATGGCCTCAGCTGTACAGATTATTTTCATTGTTAAAACCTTGGCTGCAGTGGTTTACATTTACAGAGTATCTATACAGTATATACATATCTGATATAAAGTATTTAAAAAAGGAGATTATTATTTAACGTTTTAATACTAAAATTCTACACAGAGTGTCTACTGTTTAGGTATTCTGGTTCATGGATGGAGTTAGCGTCCCATGGTTGGCATGGTAACAGCAGGACTTGTCAAGGTGGAATCTTCAGCTTTCCATTGTGAGGTGACAGTTTTGATCTGTGTGTAGAACTGGATACCCTGTGGAGAAAAAATAAAAACGTTTTCATCCAAACTCAGTCTGCTACAGTTGTGCATGTATTTAACTTGTACTGATAGGATGGGTTTGTTGTTTTCATACTTGTTTGCCATAGAAGTTCATGTCGCCTCTGAAGGATCCTCTTGATCCAGTAAAGGAGAACATAGGCAGTGGGACAGGGATGGGAACGTTGACTCCAACCTGCAGAAAACAAGAGTTTTTGCTATCATTTCTATAAGTGTAAGCTTTGTTATACAATTCCCCCCAATTTTAAATTGCTAGTATGAGTAAGATGCAGCCTGAAAAGAGATGCGGTATATCCATGCCGTTTAAAAAACAAGCTAACATGATCTCAATAAACAAAGCTAAAGCTGTGGCTTATATTCCCAGTTCTGAAAGCAAAGCATCATCTTATGAAAGGGAAGAAAAACCAAATAAAAACATTTTTGTTATGTAGGAAAAGGGGGCACAGCATTGTTTGTTTAGAATGTTTAAAAACAGTGGGAATAGATCTGGACGCACTATTGCCTTTTGGCGAAGGTGCAGGGCAAAAAAAAAAAAAGTAGTTGTTTGTTGCATCGAGGTTTGGAGCGGAGAACGGCACATGGCCTGCGCAGCATTCCCCGACATGTGAACAGCAAACACAGGGCATGACTAAGGCTCCACAGGCAAACAAACAGGGTAAAGGCTGGCCATATTTATGCCTTGTCGTTGAACAGCAACCTAGGAATCCCTTTTGATTTAATTAAAGATTTCCCTTGTTGGATACTACCTGGAAAAATATTTCTATGTCCCCCTGTCTTCTATTAACGGACACATATTTGCTGTAGCTATTTGTAGCCTTTACCGGTGGGGAAGGGGGATGCCGAATGTGTGTGTGTATTAGGTTAGGGGCAAACAAGGCTATACTTGACATGGAAAATAATAGTTTTTTTCAGTGTGTTTAAAGGTTTTCAAACAGAAATGTGATGTGCTCTCCCCTGGAGATGCTGCATAGACATGACAGAGGGATGTGAATGTCTCCTTTCTCCCAAAACAGAGGAACACATTTGGAGGCTGCAGCCACTTACCTGGCCCACATCCACCTCGTGAGTGTATTTGCGTGCAGTGGCGCCATTTGTGGTGAATATGGCTGTGCCGTTGCCATAGGGGTTATTGTTGACCATGTTGATGGCATCGTCCAGAGTCTCTGCTTCGAGAACAACCAACACAGGCCCGAAGATCTCTTCAGTGTAGCACTTCATCTGAGGCTGGGAGAGCACAGCAGAACAGGTTTTACTGGCAGTTTAAAGAGGTTTTTACTGATGTGCACATTAAGACATTACACCCACGTACTGTGACATTGCCGAGGATGGTGGGACCCACAAAATTGCCATTCTCGTAACCCTTGACCTTGACGTTTCGGCCGTCCAGGAGCAGCTGGGCTCCCTCGTCCACACCGCTCTGGATCAGACTGCAGACTCTCTCCTTGGCCTGCGGAGAGATCATAGGCCCCACGTCTGCCCCAGGCTGGTCTCCTAGCGGGGCCCCATAAACAACCAGCTGTAAGGTTTCATACCATGTCATTTTTATGATGTGAACACATAAGTTGACGCTGACATTCAAATATGTCTTTTGCTACAAACACGCAAAACCAGGACGAGGGGCACCCTGAGGCACTCCCATAAAAATTGATACTTAAGGGTTTCCTGCGTACTACAAAAATAAGAGTCCGTATCACTGCAGGCAGGGATAATCATCTATTTTACTCTGCATCAACTTCCTTCTCTCGAAGGGACTTGATGCTCTGAACCGCTATTTAGGTCTTGGCCGCAGATCTGGCCACACATTTGCAGCAGGGCTGACTAAATGAGCTCTCGCTCCCAGCTGACTCCAATGTGAAGTTACAAAACGGCAAAAGGCGAGAGGTGTGGTTAAGGCAGCGTGGGTGGCCCCTAATTGACTAAACCCAAGGCCCTCGGGGGGAACAAGGGCTCGGGAGAGACAGATGAAGATCGGGTGATGGGGTGCAGTACCTGCGTTCACGCGCAGAGCCTTAGAGCGCCCCACCAGCTCCGGCAGCCAGCTGCGGGCATCTCCCACCAGGATGGCCGTGGACAGAGCCATGCAGCGCTGCCCCGCTGCCCCGAACGCTGCACCAACCAGCTGGTTCAGAGTGTTCTCCTTGTTGGCATCAGGCATCACCACACCATGGTTCTTGGCTCCCTACAGTACAAGAAAAGTGGTTAGCCAGCTGCTGTTTAATCTCTTTACAGCAGCTGGCTAGTCACAAATCAGAACATAATATTAGGAAAATTAGGAAATGATGTACAAACACGGAAATGCTGTATAGTAAATGTGTTCGACATTTCAGTCCATAAAATAGATTCAGTTGACTGACATAAATCTAAATAATAGATGGAACATTTATAATTGTGGCTCTTGAACGTAGATGCACAGCTGGAGTCTCATCTATACAGCTGATAGAGAGGAGGAACACAAAATGATCATCTGTTGGCCAATGCTGCCACCTGCTGGACATTCACAGCATGTGTGAGTTTGATACTCACCATGTTGGACTGGACCCTCTTGCCATTTTTAGAGCCCCTCTCATAAATGTACTCCCCCGCTTGATTGGAGCCAACAAAGCTGATTGCCTTGATGGCAGGATGGTCGCAGATGAAATTCACAGCTGTGAAAGAAAGACAGCAGCTGTAATAACTGAGATATCTATTTAATTTAACGACAGTGATTAATAAGTGATATTTAAAAGTGTGTATCCGCATTACAGAATATATGACAAAAGAAGAAAATTTGTATTTATTGAAGGGTCAATAAATAATTTTAAAAAGGCAATGTCGATCAAAATCTCAACAGATTTATTTTCTGTGGAAAAACTAAGATTAAAGAGAAAAATCAACAAAAACATTTTTGCCGTGCATAAAATAAATGGTAAATAATATAATGTTTCAATAAAAACTCATCAGAAGCTTTCTATTTAGTCGTAGATCAACAAATAACCAGTAATTAGCCATATTTTCAATAAGGAAATTGGTTTGTTTGGATTTGCTTAACGTCAGAGGGGTCAAAGGTAATTGTGTGTTTGTACCTCTGATGCTTAATAGACTGAAGTTTCAGACAGAGATTATGGAGTTTAGTGAATGGCATGATGGGCCGTAAACCGAAATCCACCTCAACATATCTTGGCTTGGATGGGACATTTTTGACAAAACCAGTAAAAATTGCTAATCATCTGAATGATTTTTTTTTTTGATAAAGTAAAACATTTAAGGAGAAATATGAATCAAACTATAAATAGTAACTCCACATTTCTAATAAAGGATTTAATTATGAAAAATAAGAAGTGTACATTTAAAATAGAAAAAGTGACAATTACAGATGTTGAATGTCTACTAGGTAAATGTAATGATAAACCACCAGCAGTGGATAATTTAGTTGGTACATTTCTTAGATATGTTGCTAATTTTGTTGCAGAGCCTATCTGTCATATTATAAATTTGAGTATTGATAAATGTATTTGCCCACAGGCATGGAAAATAGCAAACATTATTCCACTTGCAAAAAATCCAGCTGGACCATTTTCTGGTACAAATAGCCGTCCAATAAGTTTATTACCAGCATTAGCAAAGATAATGGAGAGAATAATTTTCAATCAAATACAAAAATACTTTGAAGGTAACAAACTGAATACTGTGTATCAACATGCTTACAGACCTGGCCATTCCACATGCACTGCTTTAACACAAATGACAGATGACTGGAAGGGCGAACTAGATAATAGGAAGTTAGTGGGTGCAGTACTACTTGATTTTAGTTCTGCTTTTGATGTCATTGACCATTATTTGTTGTTACACAAGCTGGAACAATATGGTTTTAATTTTGAAACGCTGAGGTGGTTAGAAACTTACCTGACAAATCGAAGTCAAACTGTTTTATTAAATTGAAGTCTCTCAAAGATGAAAACAGTCACTTGTGGAGTATCTCAGGGTAGTTGTTTGGGACCACTTTTATTTACTATTTTTACAAATGACCTACCATTAGTGTTAGAAAAAGCTAAAATTGTAATGTATGCAGATGACTCAACAATATATTATGCAGCATCAACTACAAGAGAGTTGACAAATGTTATGAATAAAGATCTACTACTGAATCATGCTTTCCAGCGCTTGCGCCATCTATGTACTTGAATGGGTGAAGAACGAAGATTTTTAATCTTCGCGAACTGCACATTCGCTAAGGGTGAGCAATGGCATACATCTTTGCAAAGCATCATGATGAACATTCTATCGGCATCAAAAGTTGAACAAATGTTTTTGAGCCTCGATCATATGCTTGGTCATCAGCCAATTCAGATACGTTGTATGCTAAATGGGACGAGTGTGCCTCGCTCAGCCATATTGCAAATATTTGCGTGTGCAAACTGGGCAGAGACAGTTTGATGCTTTGTTGTCGCAGTTCATTTTGTCAATATTCCAACGGAGATATTATTACCGGTAGCAAATCACCCGGGTCTGTTTAACGACCGGAACTATTTACCAGGGATACAACCGGAGGAACCAGGCATGGAGGGAGGTGGCAGAGACAGTGGGTGAAACTGGTAGGTTTTCACCTGTTTGGAGAAGTTTATATCCAGTTTACCTTCGTTTAAACATTGCTAATTGCTTTCTTGTATGTCGGGGCGGGAGATTCTCATGTGATCTGGTTGTTGGTCCGAGTTGCTCGCAAAAGTCGCCAAGCTTCAGACACGCCCAGCTTCAAGATTTTTTATGCTGTAGTGTAGACGGGCCGTTATGAATAAAGATCCTACTAACTGATACTCAGAGTGGGTCATAAAATAAGTTGGTACTTAATGCCGGAAAAACAAAATCGTTATTAATAGGATCACATCATCATTTAAACAGGTTAACCAAAATTGCAACTCATTTCAAACCATATTGAAATTGAACAGGTNTGAGCCTCCGTACAGTAAGTGATGGCAAAACCGCCTTGGTTTACAGTGTATTTTACTATCACAGTGCACTGAGAAACTGTAAAGCACTTACGCATCACTGTACACTGTAAACCAAGGCGGTTTTGCCATCACTTACTGTACGGAGGCTCAGTCACTGGTACATTTTCATTTACAAAGCCATGTTGGATAAAGTACCATCTTATATCTGCTCCCTGATCCGTCGGCAAATTGAAGGTACTTATTGCCTGAGATCTCATGCTGTGGTTTTATTAAATGTGCCAAGTGCTAGGACTATCTTAGGGAAGATGTTACGGTTTGTGAAAGAAGCAGGACCCAAATGCAGATAACGCCGAAAATGCCTTTATTTCAAGGATAAATACAAATAACTTTGACAAAACAGAACACTCACCGGTGAACTCAGTCACAAACAAAAGACGAACCAACACTGAACACAGGAAGAGACAAGACTAAATACAGGGAGGGGTAATCACAAGACGAGAAACAGCCGGGCAGGGGAGGAGAAACACAAGGGCCCCAGGTGAACACAATCAGACAATCAGACACACCAGGGAAACTAACGACAGGAGGAAAAACACAGGGAAAAGGACCAGACAATATACCAAGAGGAAAACATGACGGAGAACAGCAAAACACCCAAAACAAGACATACAAAATGTGACATGACACAATAATCGTAACAGAACCCCCCCCTCAAGGGACGGATTCCAGACGTCCCTAAAAAAAAAAACCACCACAAAAGTCCAAAACCTCAAGCAGAGTGGGTGGAGGGGGTCCGGAGGATGGGATTTTGGGCTGACAGCCAAGGAGCACAGCGGAGGACCCGGAAGGGATCTCGGGCGGACGGCCCGGGGGCAAGGCAGAAGCCGAGAAGGGGGACTCGGGCGGACAACCCGGGGGCAAGGCAGAGTCCAAGGTGGGGGTCTCGGGCGGACGGCCCGGGGGCAAGGCAGAGTCCATGGTGGGGCGAAGGCCACAGCGAGTGAACTCAGGGGGCCAAGCATGAGGGCGAAGGCAGTGGCAGGAAGAGTCAGGGGGCCGGGCCCGAGGGCGAGGNTGTGTGTGTGTTGTGTGGTGTGTGTGTGTGTGGTGTGTGTGTGTGGTGTGTGTCGTGTGTGGGGTGTGTGATTCTCCCTGTCCATTACCTGCGATTCCTTCTCATCACCCCTACTCTTTCATACTAACGAGTGGTTTTCCCACATTACTACCCTGTACACTACGACATTTCCAGTATAGACTGAGTTTCTATGTGGTACCAGGTCCGCATAGGTCCCTGTTTGACTTGAGTAGTGTGTGTGTGTGTGTGTGTGTGTGTGTGTGTGTGTGTGTGTGTGTGTGTGTGTGTGTGTGTGTGTTGTCTACCCTCATACTGTAACCTCACTCTCCTCCACTGCCTGCCAGTCCGATGCAGACTGTGTGAATTTGCTGCTGCAGTCCCAGACACTCAGACACAGTGAGTTGCGAGCCAGACGCCCACTCTGCTCCTGTCTCTGCCCACAGCTCACCAAGCTTCTATTTGCTTCAGCAGTCAAAATACTCAGTCCGAACCGGCCCTTTCATGTATACAACCCGGCTGTCCTGTGCATTTTTACTAGTGCTGTTTTATTCTGATTGGCATTTTGGTCAACAAACATTTTCTGAGGCAAATATTCATATTGGCTTAGTTAAACCTCATTGCGTGGAACCACAAATTAGAAACACAGGATGCCTTTTTTCTGTCTCTGAGTCACAAATTGCCACACTGTAACCATGTCACAATTGAGTTGCTGAATTACCATTGCATTAAACAGAACACTGAGCCTCGTATTTATTCAGTGTTTGAGACCCCAAAGTCTAATGGGTTTGGTGGATGTTGGTAGATAGGAGAGAAATATCATTTATACAGTATGCAAAGTAATAACATACGCTATCCAGTAAATTAAGTAAAAGTAACCCAATTTCATTTTAATTCCAATTGTCTTGTTTCTATTTCTGTAATTTTGTATTTTCAATCAATCAATCTTTCTTTTTTTTTCATCTTTTTGCCTTTAATCAACTATACTGCAACCCATTTGCCAAAAAATGCTGTAGTGTTTTAGATGTTTGAATGTGTTTTCTCTGCCTTTCTAGGTCTGCTCTATTTAATTCTGAAGCACATGGTTGACAGATACAACATCTACTATGCATACGTTCCCACCAAACTCAGCCAGCGGATCCACAGAGCCGCCGTCAGCCAGGTGGTCCTGGCTCCCATCCTCTGCATGTTCTGGCTGCTCTTCTTCTCTATGCTCAGATTAGGTATGGTATCACCTACATTTCAGTCCTGTTACAGTGACCGTCATCTTATTGTAAGTGTGCATTAAAACATTGAGACATTGTTATGTCTTGCGATCTCTCCTTACTGTCACAGGTCCAGTGCATCCCATCACCCTCTTCACCTTAGTGTCCCTGCTCTCGTGTATTGCCTTTTCCCTCTTCCGCTTGTGCCTTAGGAAGCAACCAGACAAGTCAACAAGTTACCAGGTCAGCCCTTTTGAAACTTACAAAAGCTAAGTTCAGCTGAGGACGCACTAATACTGAATACTGAATGAATAGTATGCATTGTCTTTGTTTCAGATGTCTGATCAGCCTGCAGAGGGGACGTTCACTGACGCAGACAGGAGCACTGTAACATCCACCACTGCCTCCAATGTACAGTATCACTTCTCTGTCTTATTTGCCTGACAGTACACATTTTAACATGTATTACAGGATACATTTAGTACATTTGATTGTTATAATAGTTAACATACATAATTTGTGATTTTATTATCGCTCAATTCTTGTTTTGGCATTTAAACAAAGACTCTAATAATAATGGTTAGTTTGGGGAATGTTTCAAAATAATGTAAAGTGTGATTTGATTGATAAAAGGGTTTAACACATGCAAAAACACCTGTAGCAGTGGTAGACAATTACTTAATGCATTTACTCAAGTAAAGCTTACAGTTTGTAGGTGCTTTCATAATTTTTCTGCAACAAGCGTCTACTCCTATGCATTACAGAGGATAATGTTGTTTTAACTTCAACTCCACTACATTTATCCAACAGCCTTATTTACTTTACAGATATTTAAAATATAAACTAAGATAGATAATGTAAACTGCAGTAGATTAGGAAAAAGGAATAATGAAAGACTGCAAGATCCTCAGAGCATGTAGGTTAAATTGTCTCCTAAAAATTACTAGGCTACTCCTGCTTTAAACTTGACCTGGGGCATGGAAACTCAGTACTATTAATTTGTTGAGATCTTATCTTAGTGAAAGTTTTTACATCGTAAGTGTAGGGTAGCTAAACAAACCCATGTTTACAACACGCTTTTATCTCATGTACTCCGCGAGTGATCCACTGGGTGACACCGTCATTAACTCTATGTTGATCTTCCCTCAGCTGTTTGTGGCGTCCGTGCTGCTGGAGCCAGAGCTGGCTCTGACTCCCATGCCCTCCCCGGCCCACCACAGCTACGGCGCCATGGCGAGCTCCCAGAGTTCAAGCCACGGCCCGGCGGAAGAAGAGTGTGAGGAAGGAAACACCCAAACCCTTGAGACTGAGCTCCAAGACCCACCAGTCCCCTACTTGTCCAGCCCACTCATGGACAGCACTGTGGGCTTCCAGTAACACCAAATCCCCCAAGCTGATTCAATGCGTCCTTCACCTGGGGAACACAGATTGCTTAATGCTGCAAAGCTGCGTTTTTCGCTTCTGACCTCAGACTCCAACTTTGCTGCCTCAGACCCCCGAGACCAGACTGCGCTTAGGAAGAATAAAGAACCAGAAGAGGAACAAATACAGGAGCAGGGTCCATGTAAACATCACTATAAATATACAAACATATTCTGAAGCTGTCACCTGGACCCAAACATCAAACTAATAGATATCCCTTAGTGTACAATTTACTTTCTCTGATTGCTCCATGACAGGGATCCCAGCTTCGTGTATGGCTTCATTTGCAAGTTAAAAAGGTAAGGTGAAGTAACGAAAGTGACTGGGGTGGAAATGCCTTTGGGTTGCTATCAGAGAGACTCTGTCCATGCTGTGCCACTTGGACATGAGCGGAGGTGAAAGTTCCCATGAGTGTGGGTGGTGTGAGCAGGCTTGCCCCGGCAGACTGACAGTGTGGTCTGGGCACGGGTGAAATCTGGTTCCTCGGCGGTGGAGCTCACAAGGCTGAGGGTGAGGGCAGCTAGTTGTGAAGCCATCTGCAGTGAGAGAGCAGACAGACGGAGGGCCTAATCCTAATGTAACTCAGAGACTACTGTAATATATTTGAACACTCTCACCAAGGAGGCACAAGCAGCTTGACTGTACCTGAAGCTTGTTGTAAACTATCAATTTAAGGTTGCTATTTTTGCTACAGTATTTTTGGTGTCATTGATATTGTGCTTTGGGTTGGGGATGAAGACGAATGGAGATTGTTTACGGATTAGCAGAGCTGTCCTGTCTTAATCAGAGTATTTCTTTGTTATGCTGTTTTAACTGTGTATGTGATCTAACAGCATTGTTTTTATTTATTTGTTTTAAAGTAATGGTTCAAAATTTTTTCAATTCATGCAACTATTATGTCTGCATAGTCAACATGAAGTTACAGACATCAGCTAATTAGCTTAGCTTAGCACAAAGACTGGAAACAGAGGCAAAGCGCTGGCAAGAGATAGAGATATTATGTCTTTGTTGATACCAGAAAACTCAAGTGTAGTTTTACTCCATTTTTTATGGTTTGAACAAATAAGACATAGCAATGGGTTTTAGAGGTGCATGATGGTATTTTTTTAAACTTTTGGACAGACTCCAGTCTTCATGCTAAGCTACGCTTGCTGGCAATAGCTCTAAATTTAACAGACAGACATGCGTGTGGTATTGACCCTTATTATCTATTATCTTACTCGAAGTAAATGGGGTGTTTTCCCCAAATGAACCTATTGAAATGATGCCTTGGAGTTTACTTTCTCTCAAAATGTTTTGAGTACCGTAATTTATTCATTTTACATTTCCATTATTTGAAATACTGTGTTCCTTATGATGCCATTATATAAAAATACTAATAATAATTTGCCGTAATAGCTCAAAATCCTTTATTTGAATTTGTTTGTTCAGCGTCTATCACAGATATTTGTCCTAAATACAAATAAAAACAGTACAATTCAGGCACTACCATACTTTAACTTGTTTTCCGTTGCATTAACCCATGTGTGACACTCAACTGCATGTTATGTTGAATTAGGTATGCATTTCCAGGAGAAGATTCACACGTGCTTATTTCATTGTTTTATTTGTCAGTCAGTATGTTTGCAAAATGTGTATTTTAGGGTTATTTTGATGTCCTTTTTTCGAGGGATGAAAGTTTTTCTCTCCTGAAACTGAATGTAAATTGATTGTTGTTTGTTATTCATGTCTCTTGCTGTGCCTTGAACAAAAACACTCCCTTTCGTGTGACAATCCAGCATGGCCTGAAATATGCTGCATGAACTGAAAACTACAGAGCAGAGAAACATCTAAGAGATGAAAACACAACAAAAACAACCCAGAGTAGTGATTTTCATTCAATGGTTAGTTCATTCTGTTATTCAACATACAAGCAGTAAGCGGATCGCTATGAGAAACATTCTTGGCACTAGGTTGCTATCCTTTCTTTTGAGCTTTTAAGGGTATTACAATTGTAAATGTATGCCGCAACATGGACATAGAGAAGTCATAAAGATGCCCATATTAATAAGATATTTGAAATCCTGTAAGTGAAGGAGAACTGAGCAGACTTTATATGTTGATGAAGACCATTTGATGCGATCAAAATCCCTCTTCCGGTTTTTACTTTACATCACTGCAGTTCAGCGGCTTTTTAAGGATGTTTTTATTGTGTCCGTGTTGGTGCCTTGTTCTTAATTTCTATCAAAACATTTTCAGTTTTCAGTATTTGTATTCTTTGATCATAGAGTATTTTTCAAAAGTTTTCCTTGTATATGATTTATCTTTGGACATCTTAATTCTAACTTGTTTGATTAACAGTGACGGCACTGTTGTTCAGTACAGGAAAGGTAGGCTTCTTTTTAGTACAGTACATTTTGTGTCCTGAGTTATTATAGTGTATTCATAATTTCGTAAGCTGCCTGTGATTTGATATTTTTTTCAGCTGTACTTTCATAAACATCATGGCATATCATTGCATAAAATTAAATCTATTTGCTCAATTCTACAAGAAACCTAACAGTAATTTGTTATGCTGTATAAAGGAGATGAAAGCTGGCAGCAGAGAGTGAATGAAGTGGTCAGTGCAGAGAATCCTGATGTAAAATCTATTTGGAAAAAAAGCATCAAAGAGCATCTCCACATTTCTGACTGTGAAATACAAACATGTCCTGTGGGTTTCTCTTTTAGAAGCTTGTTACACAGATCATTAAATTCACTTTCCTTTGAAAATACAAAATAAAACTTATTAGGATATTTTTAACTCTAACGGCCATTCAAGGAGGGATTGTCTATGTTCATGCTTAACTATTGTGTCATGTCTCTTCATATACTACTGTCAGACATCCAAGGTCTATTTGAAAGTACATTTGCTTTCCAGACATGTCCACCAGTATGAAATGTGTGTATCATAAATACTTTACGTCATACATTATATGTGAGCTTGCTGTAAATGTGGGTTGTTATATCTCCTAAAGTTGAGGTTAGGGGACAGGCTGCTTTTGAGATTGATCTATGTCAGCCTATGAGTTTTCCTCTGTCAAAAGTGAAGTGCTGTAATCTGAAATTAAAATTAATTCAGCTTGATCCACTCATCTTGTGCCATGAAGTCGTTATTTCTCTCCTCTGTCTTTGATGAAGGGTTCTTGAGAGGCAGTGAGCCACACTTCATGTGGTTAGCTGTAGTGCAAGAGTGAATGTGCACATGATGCCTTTAGGTAGTGTCCATAGGATATTGTGCTTACAGTGCTCGTGTATTATTTATGTTAGAACTTTAAAAGTAATAGTTTTATTCCCATTAAATTAGCTTATTTGGTTTCTCGCAAAAAGATGAAGAGATTGTTTGACGAAGAGATTGTTTGGAAACCATTCATGTATGTGTATGCTAAATACGGATAGCTAGGCCAACCCTCTGCAGCTAGTTAGCTTAGTTTAGCACACAGACTGGATGCTACACAGACTGTCAGAGGGTAAAAAAGGTTAGTTTGTTGTTAATAAGGTAAATTAAAACAGTATCTCTAATGTTTGCTTATTGACACATTATATCTCTGTCGTTTGTTACATTTAGAGCCAAAGCCATGCTAGTTGTTTACCTCTGTTTCCTGGTGCTAAACTAATCTGTTGTTGGTTGCAGCTGAAATATTTACCATACTAACATGAGAGTGTAGTATCAGTCTTCTTATGGTACTCTATGCACAAAAGAAACGATACATCAACACTCCCATTTCCTTGTTCCAACTGTCTCCCCACAGAAAATCACAGACAAGATTTCTTCCTTTAACAAAATGTGGGAGAGGTGGCTAATGAATGCAGGTGCATGTTAGCTTAGTGTTTGAAGCAGTGTGTCTGCATACAAACTAGCCTGGGGACAGGCCTCTGCACAGCAGGCCTCATTGGTCCTTGAAACCACATCTGAGTCTGGATGGGGCAATTAATTGTTTGAGCATCTGCTTTTATCCAAACCACATTGGAAAATGGAAGCACCACAGTGCCAACAGTGGATGCTGTTCCAGCAAAGTGGTGTACTAGTAGCCTACGTTTTCTTCAGAAAAAAAACATGGATGTCATTTTTTCTGCAGTAAAAGGGTTTGTAAGGAAACACCATAACATGCCTGCCGTTATATTGCTTCTCCGTTGCTAAGAGTAACACAAGAAGAAAGAAAAGTCCCTGACATTTCCCCTGTCACCCGTGGCAACTGCTGAGAGCATGCTTCTCAGTGAAAGGAGAATTCCTCCGGGTGCAGGGCCCGTCGCTCGCCCTTCTCCTGCCCAGATGCTTAGAATAAAAAATCTGTGCCTCAGCAAACATATTGTTATTCCCATATGGGTTTGTTTCAGCATGCAAATGTTGCTTAATAAGTTGCCGTTGTTTAGTATTTGCATAATATTTTCATTTAAAGTAGGCCTCATCGCAATTTAGAACTTGTTATCTTCCGCATCGCTCACCATAGTCTTTCAACAAATGTATAAGAGAAATAGCAGTTGACATTCAATATTACAACCATATCCATGCAAGATCTTTGATCCCATCTCACAATCACTGTCAGCAGATGGATTTTGGCTCAGTTTTAAGTATCATATTTTCATTTATGTTGAGCCCGGTAATACTTGTTGTTCATGTTTTGTCTTAGGAGTAAAGTTTACCCTTGACCTTTGAAATAGTATTTTACTACAATATGTTTTAACCTTTCAATCTGAACCTTGTAATGAGTTTGTTTTTGTAAACTTGGAAGGAGATCAAAATGTCTCAGGTAAAAAATGCCTTCTTCATTATATCCAGGCAGAAAGTGTTAAGAACAGTTTTATATAACACCGGGAGATGCAGCACATGGCTGCTGCGTAGCTCACTTGCTTACATATCATGGTCATATTTTTGGACTACAAGCTTTCAAATTAAATCAAAAATTAGACTTCAATAATTGATGGAACTGATTCTCTGTACCTTTAGGATAAGATTGTGTGGGTAGCTAAAGGCGGATATTGGTTATTCCTCCGTGCTATAGAGCTTCGTTTTTGCCTGAAAATGACACATCAATGACTCATTGTTACATTGGTTGACATGTTGCTTCATTACCATGACCGCAGGCATAGTTTATTTCAAGTGAACTCCACATGCATGCCACAAATACCTTTTCAAACAATGTGCAATGAGCCTGTATTAAAAAAAAAAGCATGTTAGTTGGTGGGAAAGCACTTTCCGTCCTCCATCTGTGTCTACACTACACACGATGCATTCAGGCACAGTATTGAGTGTTGATCAATCAGTGTAGTTACATGCATAGAAAGGAAGAAAATAAACTTAAAGAACTGCGCTTGAGCGTGTGTAGCATTTTTAAACGCATGCCATTGTGCAGCCTGTGTTGATGACTGCATAGATTAAATTGTATATGTTGCCTTAGTCTCACATGGGAGAGATGACTGAAGAACGTGGGTGAAAGCCCTCCTTTAAAAGTTGAAAGACACCAAATGTGTATTAATCCACTGCTGAGAATAGTCCTAAAAAATAGTAAACGTTTGTTAAAAACTACGATCCCCAGGTGAACTGTTAAATTACAGATCTCTTGTTAACTGAGTTATGCAGTTGTTAACATTTTCAGTATGAACCAATGGGTTTGAGAAACCAGAGGATAGGATATTCAGAGAGTATTGAGACATGGGCATCATTTCTGTCTTATATTGACAATCTGAAATATATATAAATAAACCGAGCCTTATCGTTTTACTGGTTGTTCTTCAAGTTGGAAGTAGCAGACAGCGTATTCTCACTGTTGTGGTAGATGCTTGGCTGGCTTTGTTGCAGACCCCAGCAGTGATCCGATCAAAACCTCATAAGCCTCAGCCTTTACGCACAGTCACTGTCCACTGTGTGATCTAGGATAAGTGAGGGATTGAGTAATACTCCGCTTCCTTTCTCCTTCCTCCAAAACAAATGTGCACACACACACGACTCTGGACCATCACTTAACAGTTGCCATGACAACATTCAATACCTCTTCATTCCAAAACACATTGCAGACTTTCTAAAAATAATGTGTGTTTGTCTTTTCTCGCAGACACCTCTCAAGACCACGACATGGCTTCAGAGCAAATCCTTGTGCACTACAAGGTAAGACTGCAGAGCTATAGTGGCGTAATTATGAATTACCAAACACTTGTTGTAATTTAATTAATAGCTTGAATTTCGTTGTAATCCAACCATTGGTTGGTGACCTGAGAGGTTGGGGCCAGTCATGAAGCCGAGTGACCGGACAACTGTGGCTCAGGCTGAAGAGAGACATGCAGCATGGAGCCGATACATACAGCAGACTCTCTGCTGGGAGAGCAGAGGCAGATTAAGGCCATGTCAGCCACAGCAGAACAGACAGCCAGCTCATGGATGCGACTTTAACAATGACACACACAAATTGTATATATGGGATAAATGAGCCCCGTGTATTCGGATAACTCATTACAACAACCCTCCCTTCTTCACTTCTCTCATTACTGCGGTACAGCTTCACCTATAGGACACACGAAAACTAGCAGGAACACACACACACATCTACAGTATGAGGATTTGATTTGTTTTTGGAGGAGAAAAAGCAGTCCACATTGCAAAAACGAAATGTCTCATTTGTGAAATTCTTCACGATTTTGTGAAAATCCGTAAACAATCTTGCTGTGACATTGTGCAGTTGCATGAGTAAGTGGGCTGATGTGCCTGAAGTTGCCCTCGTCTCAGTAGCCAAGGGCGATGAGCCATTCGGCGCTTGGATCTTATGTAACACTAGGGGATGGGCTGTCAGTGGGAAGCAAATCAGGCATGGTGTGATTGATTTCAAACGCTGACCATTATGTTGTAAGCATCATCAGTCTGTGACAAACAACCTGAGTGCGAGAGAAACACACACTGAGCTTGTTTAGCAGTAAAATATCCACAAAGATCACTTTATTAAGTCCCACGTAAGCACACAACATGTTTTATTCTTTAAAGTGTAAGATAGAACCCAGTTTACAAAGAGTGCGTGCTTGCATTAACTCAAATACTACTGTGCGTTTTTGGTAGAAGGATAACTAGGTGAAGTCATCGCTGTTCAATAGCAGCTGATAATGATGAGGTAGACAGGGACACAACCATTATGTACAGAGCTGGATGTTAACATGCCAGTTATCAGTTGCCTGCTAAACAAGACCTAGTGTCAGGTAAAACAGGAACATGGAGAACAACCTGCACAAATACATCACATACACAGTCAGTTAAATAACATTGCACATGTGGGCTATACATTACAGAGTGAACAGACTAGGCAGGGATAACATATTTCAATAGTTAACTCTGCTTTGATTGCACATTTTCAAGGTGATAACATCTATATTTTCACTAAATGAAACCCAATTAAAAGCAGAACATTTGCCATTTTGGGTTAATTAACTGGAAATCCACACTATGTATTATATTTGTGAGGGTATACTGTATATCACATTTGAAGAAAAATCTATGCTCTTTAACAACACGTAGATTTCAGAATATAAAAATAAACTTTATAGATGTAAACTCAGACTAAAGCGATAATAACCACATATCAGCAGCTTGGATTTACAGTTGTATGGTGTTATTATCTAATATTTGGCGCACTGTTGCTAAGTTACTTGGCATTATGACCATGAATGTCAATAACAGCTGAGGATGATACATACAGTGTTATGGCAGCGATGATAATAATAACACACACATATTACACTCTGTCAGCATTTAGTATCACGATATTATTTGTAATGTGGTAATAAGGAAAAATAATAATCTTCAATAAAGTTTGTCTTTGTTTCATCATCCAAAATAAATATTTACTTCCATGTAGAAGTACTTTTCATATCCTCACCTCTAAAGCGGAGGTGATACTCTGTAGCCACAACAACACAGTTAATAAGCATTACTGAAATAAGCGCCTACAATACAAGAAAACTACTTTATACTAACAATGACTGGAAAAAGCCAAGGAACAAAAATGTTATAATTATTTTACTCCCAAAGTAAAGAGTAAACATAACAGTCTATAATTTAGAGATTAACAGTCAGCTGAAGCCTATTGAAATGATCACAACCTCTACAGAGGAGAGCCTCACACACCGTGTGGGTGCCTTAACAGTCGTAGATCTCAGAAGAGAGCTATCAGAGGGTAACAGTTCTTGTCAGTATCTATTGAATATCATCTTTAATCAATAAATATTACATAACAAAGTCACACACAAAAGTAGGTGTAAAGATGTATAATATCAATAGAAAACACAGCAGTGATTATGATTAAGGTGATAGGATATGCTTATTAAAAATCACATTGCTTTGTCCCAAAACTTTGAGCATGTTTTGTAAAGTATCTCTGTGTTCCAGTTAGATAGAGCTGCCGTGCTGTGACCATCACAGTTTTAGTAGTGTGTGATGCCTAAAAATAATGTCTAGTGTTTCACAATTGTGCAACTCTTTTAAGATACACCACAAAGACCACTACAGCCACTGTTATTTGAGTAGATATATCAAAGCCATTATATACAAAGAGACTCAACAGTTATCCTTGTTGCTGTTTCTCAGTTTGAGGCGCTCTGATTACAGGTCCAGACTTAGAAGAGCCAAACTCCTCGCAGCTGTACAGCAGCATTGTCTGGTAGCTAAACATCCACAGCAAAGAAAAGAAACCCTGCGCTTCGTTGATTCCAATTGTAACCACACCATACATTCGCTACAGTATGCAACCTCACGCAGAGCCAATGTACAGCAGCCAAAGCCACAATGTTGCAAGTTACACAACCTTTTTCCATGGCAACCATGTTGAGTGATTTGACGGCAACTGATCAGCAGCCCCCCGCTGTGCGCCTCAGTCGGCCTTGTCCTCCCCGTTCTTGGCCCATCCCTGGCTCATGGCTGCTACCACAATGCTGTACAAGTTGAGCCAGGCTTGACGCAGCGGTGCCGTGTAGGCCTGACCCAGACTGCACTGCAGCATGTAGAGAAGGGACTCACCCACCTCCTGAAAAGGACACACAATTGGGAAAAACAAACAATTTTTTCACAGCTCACTGAAATGTGAAATTGCTTTTTTCTTAAAGTTGCGATATGAAATGTTGTTCCTACGGCAAATGACTGTGTGTTGACTCCCACTGCCTGGTGCTTCCTCCCAAGGTTGAGCAGAAAGTCCTCCAAGGAAGGAAGGTCGTCCAGATGGCTGACGGCTGCATCGATCACAAGCATCACCTGCAAAGACACATGCAAATACACACACAGAGAAAGTGCTTTAAACCGTAGTACAAACTGTATACTCGTAGTGGTGACTGCGGTGAACGGAGCTCACCTTGGTAATATGTTCCAGAAACTCCGGGCTGGAGAGGCAGTCTTGTGTGGAGCCACAGTTTGTAGTGTAGTGGAAAAGAGTGAGGAGCTCAGGGTCCAGCTCAAACAGTCTGCCACAGACAAATACCACACTATTCTGCAGGTGTATGCACACGGCATGGGATGCAAAACGTCCACACAAACACACAATCCATCTATAAATCATACATCTACAGTTCTCTCCGGATAGTCTGTGTTTTAGCGGCAGCTGTCTCAAAGTAAATTGTGGATTATTGCAGTCTGTCGCCAAGCAACAAGTCAAGCTTCCGGTCCGTGCATGCTGAAAGTGTGCAGCTTCAATCTCTCTCCACAACTGTGTTACATAGACAAATATTTTTTATCACCACAGCTATTAAGTAACAACACAGAAAACAGCAGGATACCGGTGTTATTAGAATGAATGCTAATGAAATAAGGATGACTGCACAGGAAAATTAAGGTTTCTTCACTTACAAATCACTTTACTGCTTAATTCCAAATGAATGCTGCTGATGTGTGTAAAAGATTACCTGGAAAACATGACGACACCATGAGGAACTTTGTTCTTGCCCAGGCTCTCCCAGCTGCCTCGTATCAGCTCCTTGTCTTTCTCTGACAGCTTCTCCATCCTCCCTCTGGATCAAAACACGAGGCAAGTTCTTCTGGAGGGGAGAAACACAACTCTTCTACAGGACAAGAAGACTCAGTTTGAGGAAAGCCATAACATTTGAGGTAATCCAGAGACGAAACCTCCGCCAACCCACCTGGAAAACAAAGTGAAGCATCATGAGTTTCACAAAGCTGGTATGTCAGTTCCACAGAGGGGGACACAACTGTTGGAGACAGGAGTCCTCGGCTAGAGATGCACACACATACTGTACCTTCTTGAAGTCAGTCTTCTCTCTGAACTTCTTCTGGTGCACCCGGGCTGAGGGGTCTCTCTGTTTGAGTGTGTGTGAGTGTGTTTGTGTGTGCAGACAGCAGCCTTGCCTGACACTCTGGTGCACTTGCTCTCTCTTTCCCCAGCCCCACGGTGCAGTCAGGGAGACAAGTTCTGCCACGCTCTTATCTGTCACACTGGCTGCTATCTCTCTCCCCTTCCCGTTTGCCTCTTGATATTCTCTCTCTCCAGCACTGGGGATATTATTCATGCCACTGAAGGAGAAAAAGAGGGATCTCTCTCTTCTGCTCCAGAGAGGCTGCAATGAGCCACAGCTCCTCCTGCAGGTGAACCGAGGACTGAAGTGTACAGAGACTCTACATGAGGACAACTCTGCAATTTACTAGATAAGGAGTCTTTGCACTGTTCCTTTAAAATTAAGGGAATGCAATTAAACAAGAAGATAAACAACAGAATCATGAGAAAATACAACAGAAGCTTTTCATTCAGTCTGTTTTAAGGCAGGTTTAAAGAGGTTTGAATCCAAACGCACGACTTTGAGAACAAGCTGGGGATCTAAAACGTTTGATTTCACAATAGTTTGAAAACTCTGACAGTCAGAGAAAATAGCAGGACAAGGAAGCACAATAGAAAATACAAGAATGTCAAGGCAGCACAATATCTATTTTATCCTCGCAATGTCAACGTGCGCAATAAACACACCGTTAAAGAATACGAAATTGCACACTGATTTTTTTATTTGAAAGAAAGTGTATTTTAAATGTAATTTTTTTTGGGTTTAGTTACATTTTTCATTGGTGATAAGTATGAATGTTGGAAATGTTTTCCATTCATTTTTTTTTTATTCAACAAGCAATACACTTGAATAACTGCTTATTTATCGGAGGTATCATCATTATCGCGATATTCAACATGTCATTTCCCTCATATTGTGCAGCCCTATCTGGTATTCAAACTACTAGGCTGATGAAGAGGAGGAAAAAGGTGTGCAGATGATGGGAACAGCAGGAACACGGGGTCACTGAAGGGCACATGGGAGGGTAATAAAGCAGAAAAGTAATGTGAGGATCAGAAAGTGTCTGGCATTGTGACAGTGAAGTCCTCTTGAGGCCTATATCATCTGATCTAGGGTGTGTCTTCTCTTAAGCTGCCTACATGGGCAACCCCTGCATTTACAGAATAAAATGTGTGGGAATTTTTATGTCTTACAGCGGCTGGAATAATAAAAGACCTGAACACACCACCTAGGAGAAATTATATTGTAGTAGAGCCACTCCTCTAACAGCGTGATCGTACCATTTGGTGGCCAAGCATGCAGCCTCTCATTAATCTAAATGAGATGTGTTTGTTGCTTCTCTGAGCTTCCACACACATTGGAGGAACCGCAGTTTGTTTAAATAGATGTCACAGGCGTCTCTCTTGGATATTATCTAACAAGTTGGGAGGGATTGGTTTTGTTTTTAGCTGAGCTCCGGGGGAATCAAAGGTGCGCAGCGCAGCGCTCTCCTGAGGGACTACCAGGCAGAGTGTGGGGGGGGGTAAACTGTGTTCCCATGACAACCTGACAGGATGGAGCCCTTGAAGCTTCGTCATGTGATGTTTGAGATCTGAAGGGATTATTTATTACATCCAGAATTACTATGTGGCAACATTTTGGCTTTAATTATACAAAATTAATCTTGTGGTTTCAATTAGAGAGGAGTCTGGCACAATTACATGGCACATGTAATTGTATATAATATATTTAAATTAAATATCAATCTAAGTCTTTGATAGTGTTGCCTTGGGACGAATTAGACATTGCCTTCATACGTGACACAGTGGCCTACAGAAAGTAACCATATGGTATGTACTGGTCTCCATGACTACGTTTTAATTATAATTATACAGTATACATTTTACAGACATTCCCATGTGGTTTGTCAGTGAAAATTATTCCTAAAAATTCCTAGAAGTCTGCTATCCAAGCACAAGCTGCAGTGGAGGGCAGTGTGCAAATGCATTTGATGTGGGTCTCTGGGCTGGGAGCGGAGCACTGAACTGGTCTTTGTGAAGGCAGGTGCACAGTCAGCGCTGTTTGTTTAGCTGCACTGTGGCTGGAGAAACAACTGGGAACTTTACCCCAACCATCCCAGAAAGACCCATGTCAGATGCTAAGTGTCCTTACAGGACCTGACACATTTAAAGACACATTTATTCAATTGTTTAAAATACAACTTGGAGCCAAAGAGATTACATTTCTCATGGAAAAAGTATAATCATTTTTGTATGGCTATCGGAAGAATCTTTATTTTAGAGTGGGTAAACACAATTTAGTTTCACAGACAAAGTGGGTGTCCCCATTTTGTTTTGATCAGTTTATTCTGGTGACCAAGTGCTCATCATCCTCTCAATTACAGTGTTCATATTCGTAGCATAATTTGTCATAAAATAAAATGCTTTTTAGTCTCAATTTTTGTATCTGCTTGACATATAATGGAGATCATACAGACAAAGTATACTTAAAGCATATATAATACTAATTTCTTATAAACATACACAGTTCTTTTAAACTACTCTACTAACAGTCATGATTGTAAAATCCAGATGCTTTTTTTCATTTCATAATTTGCAGTTGCACATCCTAAACTATCAAATGCTCGGTGCCGATAGTTAGCCGTAACATAAATCATTTTTGAGGACAGAGTTGTTTTCTAGCGGAGAGGCCATAAAAAACGCTTTGCCGCCTTGACCTTTTTGATCATGGCATTTCTTCCAGTTTGGACTTCACGCTCTTCTCCTCCACATCTTCAATTTTCTCCCCGTCGTCTACATTTTCCTCCCTAAATCAGACATGTTGGGTTAGAAAATGTCTGTATGGTAATTACATTGAACTTTTACTTGGCTTCAGTATGGGTCTTTCTTCACTAAAGACTGCAGGGCAAGTTTAGAAAATTATGTAATGCAATATGACCAAACCACAAGAAGTCCTAGGCTCCCAAGCACTAGTGCTATTCGTGATTTTACCGGAAAAAGTGGTATTACATATTGAATGAACAAAACTTGCTAAAATACTCCCTCTGCATACCTTCTGGGAATGTCTTCCTCCGTGCTGCAGTTCTCGTCTGAATCCTCCTCAGATATAGATGCTACTTCTCCATTTTCCTCAACAAAATGCTCCTTTAAACCAGCTGTCTTCAGCGTGTTCCTGTATGTCTGCTCTGCGTGAGCCTTTGCGTTTTTCTGACAGTAAAAGAAACTCAAAGTTATGCTTGAGGGGAACATCATTCACAACGCAATGTGATCTTCTCAGTTTGTAACTCACCTGTTTGACCTGTTCGAAGAGATAAGGCCGTTCGCTAACTCGTGCCTTCATGTCCCGTAACTCCTTCATGTAGTCTCTCATCCTTTGTTGGTCAGCCTCTCTTCATGAAAGAGAAGATTATAGTTTGAGCTCCTGCGGCAGGCGCGTGTGGTTGTTGTGATGCGAGTTGCAAAGGTTGAACATTTGGAGAACAACGGACTCACTTAACCAGTACTCACCGATGGTGCTGAAGTTTGTCATTAAACACTTCTTTCAAGCTCTCGTGTGGGTCCAGCAGCTTGGCATGGAGAGTGATAGTCTTCTTCATGGCCTGCGACCTCGTTTGGTGCTTCCTCAACCACTCGGCACTCTCTTCATTCTTGCTATCCCTTATCTCCATTGACTTTCTGTGAAGGTCAGAGGATGGACCTATTTAGTGTGTAGAACCAAGAGGAATACAATTATACAATTCCAAAGAAATATCAAAAATAATCCAACTCACCTGATGGCCATGCAGCGCTTCCTTGCAGCATCTGTGATATATGTGGGGAGTGTGTCTGCAGACAGGGATGTTAAGGCCCCAAGTGACTTGCTTCTGCTGATATTACTTTTTGTAGGTAGCTGTGAAGTAGAAACATTTTCATTTGTTAGCTGAAATAGAAGCCAATATATTAGTTTACCACATATCATCAGTGTGTAGACTGAGGTCAGATGCATTTATGAAGGCCTTGTATAGACATGCCAAATCAGAGAGACTGACAAAGCCTGGCAAAAACAATACATCATTTGAGAGGGAAATTCTAACCATATCAGTTATAATAAATGTCTTTCTTTTTCCTCTTTACTTCATTATGTTTTTGTTTCAACAATTACTGCATGAACTATCAATACAGTAAATGTCATCAACATTCACAGAACATGGCAAAGATGAATTAGTGACATGTCTTTGAGATGACACAGTTTGGTGCTAATGTCTATGATATTCAAAATAAATAGAGTTGTGTTTTCAGAGTCTCTTTGTTTTGGACTAGGTGATGTTAGTCTACAAATAATGTGACCGAAGTAGCTTTTTTAATTGCCACACTCAAAACATTAGTAAGTACTATGTGGCAAGTATATATATAGTATTAGTCAAATCAGAGGAATTTGCCCAAAAATGATTGGCATAGCTCATATAAAAAGATCTCTGGTAATTGTATAATTTTGGGCAGAGTGATAAATTATATGAAAGGATGGCAGGAAGGAACTTTCACTGATCACAAAGTTCCTTCTACCACTTTGGATTAGTGTAAATTACTGTTATTCTTATGAAATTACTGTTATATTTAATTCTGCTCGGAAATGCCCTCATGTGAATCATCCACCCAGACACATTTCTAGGAACATGTACTGTATAGGGATGGTCTTGGCGAAATGGGGACGAGTCTAAAAAAGAAAAGCTTGAGTTGAGCTTGATAAATTATGAGGTGAAGAAGTAAAAATATAACTGAATATTCCCTCTGTAAAGAGGACCCACTGAACATATTTGAAATAGCTCTCTTGTTCCACAACTGAGGGGACTGGTCTGAACGGGACCAACAAAACAACACATAGCCCCACAAGAACTTAACCAATGCAATACATCTTTAACCATCAAACAAGGACACAGAATAGAGTCATATGTGACCAGGTCAAAGTTATTTGTCACATTTTATGACATAAAAACGTCTTTGAGGGACCGCAGGAAGACACAACAAAGTGTTGTACAGTTGGCAAAACGGTTCTCTTGTTCCCATTAGGCTTTTATATAAACGAGCAAGGGTTTAGGTAATGAGTTTTTCATCTAGAACATGTGAAGTTTTAATAAAAAAAAAAAACGGAAGGGTATGACAAAGTGGTGGGTGGATGTGTCTTGAGCCATGCATCGAACAGAGAAATGTAAAACTAAAATGTTTAGCCATCTGGGCCTGGTGCGTTGGAGTCCTTGATGTCTTCTTATGTAATTCCTCGAGAGATACTGGCCCTTAAAGACATTTATGTAATATTTTTGCAAAAGTTATTAATTAGTCTCAGACCTACCTCCCATAGATTGACAGGGGATTATTGAAATGTGGATAAAAACTTCAAAGCAAAAGATTAAAAACAATAGAGACTGAAAAAGATAAGCCCATATTCTTAACTGAAACAAGTTGAAATAGGCAAATAAAACAATTGTAACATATTCTTAAAATGGTGTCTGTGGTAAATGATGTGTTTTACCTGCGATTTTTCAGGGCTGGTCCTACTTTGCCTTGCAGGGAGAGCTGATGTCCTCAGAAAGAAGGGCTGACATTTTATCATATCTTTACTCTGAGATCTTCTCAGCCCTTCTGTCTGCAAGGCTTTGTGCAGCCTGCTGAAGTCAGGGACACGCTGGAGGATTTTTGGCTGGAAGCTGGGTCTCTCATCCAGAAAACCCAACTTTTCTTTCCTGTTGCGCTCAGCGGTGCGGAGTTTGGGGCTGCCTGACACGGTACGATTCTCATGTGGCACTGCCGTCTGAGTGGGGACTTGTCTGCCAAGCTCCTGGTCTGCACGGAATTACAGTGAGGTGATGCAGAAGAGTAAGTCATGTCACTCAACAGTAATAATAATAATAATACATGGTATTTTTATAGCACTTTTCGTAATGCTCAAAGACGCTTAGTGTATCAGATATACTGTATGCATCCAATATAACATTATATAAACAACATAAACAATTATTCTCTTAATAATAAATGTCATAACTTTGCTTTTGTTTTGTAAAGGCTACAGAGAAGCCAACATTGGTACATTTTGGTTTAAATATTAATAGGGCTGACTGTGACCATGAATTAAGAAGTGAAATGGTAAAGCAGTGTTTCCCCCTAGGATGGAGTCATAGCAGCGGTGCTAAGGCACGCGGGCCTAGCTAAATGTGAGCGCGGAGCGCGTGGAATTTTTTTTTGTGTGCGAAGTGCGCCCCGCCAATATGTTTCTATGTCTCTGACAGCACAAGAAAGGCTCATGAGGCTCTACAGGTGTATTTTGCTAAATCACCTTTATTGAACATACAGTAACACAAATACTACACATCCACATAACAAACAATCAAAATAAAATGTATGCAATTTAATTATTTAACCTGCTTTATTTGGGGGTGGACCTCACATCCTCTAGGGGGGTCCGGAGGCATGCACCCCCGGGAATTTAAGTGCATCAATCTGGTGCACTTTGAGCACAAAATGAATTTATGGATACAGCTCTCAACACTCATATGAAAGGGAGCTGTATACTTTTCAATAATCCAAACATCTTTAGAATATAATCACAACCAACAACAAATCATTTAAACTTGTTTATTCTTATCTTATGTTACCTAGTTAGTGTTCTTTCTTTTTCTTTATGCATATTACTAATCACTCCCCTTTTAAACTGTTTTTTTACTGTCCTATAGTACGCATTGGAATGATTTCTTACTTTATTTTTTTCAACTATATTAAATAGTTAAAGCTCTCTCTAGCTCTCTCTCTCTCTCTGTGTCGCTCGCTCACAGAGGCTGTGTGGCCATGGATTATTATTTTAATGTACTTTTTTTTTGGTACCTGTCTGGCGCCCCGTAGCAGCGGCGCGCATACATACAGTGGGGGAAAAAAGTATTTAGTCAGCCACCAATTGTGCAAGTTCTCCCACTTAAAAAGATGAGAGGCCTGTAATTTTCATCCTAGGTATACCTCAACTATGAGAGACAAAATGAGAAAAAAAAATCCTGAAAATCACATTGTCTGATTTCTAAAGAATTTATTTGCAAATTATGGTAGAAAATAAGTATTTGGTCACCTACAAACAAACAAGATTTCTGGCTCTCACAGACCTGTAACTTCTTCTTTAAGAGCCTCCTCTGTCCTCCACTTGTTAACTGTATTTATGGCACCTGTTTGAACTCGTTATCAGTATAAAAGACACCTGTCCACAACCTCAAACAGTCACACTCCAAACTCCACTATGGCCAAGACCAAAGAGCTGTCAAAGGACACCAGAAACAAAATTGTAGACCTGCACCAGGCTGGGAAGACTGAATCTGCAATAGGTAAGCAGCTTGGTGTGAAGAAATCAACTGTGGGAGCAATTATTAGAAAATGGAAGACATACAAGACCACTGATAATCTCCCTCGATCTGGGGCTCCACGCAAGATCTCACCCCGTGGGGTCAAAATGATCACAAGAACGGTGAGCAAAAATCCCAGAACCACACGGGGGGACCTAGTCAGAGAGCTGGGACCAAAATAACAAAGGCTACCATCAGTAACACACTACGCCGCCAGGGACTCGAATCCTGCAGTGCCAGACGTGTCCCCCTGCTTAAACCAGTACATGTCCAGGCCCATCTGAAGTTTGCTAGAGAGCATTTAGATGATCCAGAAGAGGATTGGGAGAATGTCATATGGTCAGATGAAACCAAAATAGAACTTTTTGGTAAAAACTCAACTAGACGTGTTTGGAGGAGAAAGAATGCTGAGTTGCATCCAAAGAACACCATACCTTCTATGAAACATGGGGGTGGAAACATCATGCTTTGGGGCTGTTTTTCTGCAAAGGGACCAGGACGACTGATCCGTGTAAAGGAAAGAATGAATGGGGCCATGTATCGTGAGATTTTGAGTGACAACCTCCTTCCATCAGCAAGGGCATTGAAGATGAAACGTGGCTGGGTCTTTCAGCATGACAATGATCCCAAACACACCATCCGGGCAACGAAGGAGTGGCTTCGTAAGAAGCATTTCAAGGTCCTGGAGTGGCCTAGCCAGTCTCCAGATCTCAACCCCATAGAAAATCTTTGGAGGGAGTTGAAAGTCCGTGTTGCCCAGCGACAGCCCCAAAACATCACTGCTCTAGAGGAGATCTGCATGGAGGAATGGGCCAAAATACCAGCAACAGTGTGTGAAAACCTTGTGAAGACTTACAGAAAACGTTTGACCTCTGTCATTGCCAACAAAGGGTATATAACAAAGTATTGAGATGAACTTTTGTTATTGACCAAATACTTATTTTCCACCATAATTTGCAAATAGATTCTTTAAAAATCAGACAGTGATTTTCTGGATTTTTTTTTCTCATTTTGTCTCTCATAGTTGAGGTATACCTAGGATGAAAATTACAGGCCTCTCTCATCTTTTTAAGTGGGAGAACTTATACTAAAATACTTTTTTGCCCCACTGTATATATAGGGGAAACACTGGGTAAAGACACATTTTCAGCAACTTCTTTGAAACAAATTTAGATCAAATACAATTTAGCTATGAATTCATGAACAAAACAATTAAAACAACATGTGTTTGAATGTTGTCTAATGCTTATAAAAAGGCTTAGTTTCTACAGGGCTTATATGCTACTGTATACTATGAATTTTGATGAATCAAGGAAGACCCACCTTTCAGGCGTGAATCAGACGGGTCTTTGACCTCTTTGTGAGGAAGTTTCCTTACAGCAGCAGCCTTGGTTTTCTGATCTTCTGTGTTTTGGTTTATCAACGCTATTAGCTTCTCCATTTTCTCCTTTTGTTTCTCCTGGAAGCTGAAAGGTCTTTGACTAGAGAGCCAGAAGTCCCTCCTGTGCTCAAGGCCCTGCTTCCTCTCCTTCTCCTTCAGCTCCATCATCTCCTGATAGAGCGGCTCGATGACGTGGCTGGGCACTGGGCGAGCGCAGAACTTCCTCTGACACTCAGCCATGGCCTCATCTTCTCTCATCTCTTGTGTTGTTTTAGATACAGCAAACCGTTCACACTGTGTCCCAGCAGGAGCCAGCCTGGAAGCCCTGACTGAACCGCTCTTCCAGTTTGAAGAAAGACAGGCTGGAGAAAATGACTTCTCTGATTGCCTAAGATGGTTCAATGTCTCTTTGCCTGAGGTCAGGGCAGAGGTAGAGGAAGATTTCCTCATTCCCAAATGTCTGAAAAAGGTATTTGAGAAAATAAATGTATTAAAAGGATGACTAAATATAAAATACATTTAGGAAACCTACTTGGCCTGATGCTTGATTTCATTTCTTGACTCTGGGTCCAAATCTGTTGACAGCAGAGAGTTCTGATGAATCCTCCTCTCAAGATCCTCTTTCTGTCTCCTTTGTGTCTCCTGCAGCTGCTGCCTGAGGGTCTCACTCAGGGCCTTCAGATGCTGCTTGAGCATTAACTCTGATCTGAGTCCATCTTCCAGCAAGGTCTCCAACTTTGGCATATTTCTGAGAGCTGTGACATGAAAATAAGGAGTTGTTTACTTCTGTTAACTAATCATTGTTCTGTTTGAGTTAGGGTTTAAATGCGTAGTCCATTGATCTATTTGTCTAAACAAAATCCCAACAAAAAGTTGAACACACATTAACATTACTCACTCAGTTATAATTTTTCAATTATTTGATCTCTGGGCATTTTCTTATATTGAACAGTTGAACTGTATTTTAAATAAGAGCAGAAATTGAACAGAAAGATTCTTTTTTTTTTTTTTAAAGGACTTAAGATAATTTAAGTAATATTCTTGTGCAATAACAAAAACAGTCCTTGGTTTCAGCTTCTTAAATGTGAATATATTTGGGTGCTAGATATAAGTGTTTATTGGTTTTTCTGGGATGTTGTAATTGGCATTTTCTATATTTCCTCACAATGTTCAACATAACATATTAAATGTATCTAATACATTTTTCGAAACGGTTAAATTAAGTTAATTATTATAGCAAAATCTTTATTTTTTACAACTATTTTTTAACAACTCACATGAGACCTGCTGACAACTCCACCTACAGTGTGGTAATGGGTTACCGTGGTAACCAGATCGTTGCGCTCTCAACCTAGGTCTGGCAGTAATATAATATAAAGTCGATTTAGTAGCTTTCCCTGAGTTACGTTACTAAACGTATTTACTAAAACACTTATATGCTAAGCTTCGTTCTATTTATAAAAATATTGTTAAATAAATACAAGTAATAATCATATGCCAACCTGCTAAAAGACGAGTTTTAGGAAGTGTTTCTCGGCGTATTCTTCCGAACGTAACTTTGAGCAAGCTAACGTCTACGTTATATATCCGCTAAAAACACTCACTGCAGCTTATTCGCTAAGCTAAAGAGGACTGTTGTTGAAATAAAGAGTAAAACAAGAGTTAACTACACCTGAGAGAAAACAAGTATCTTCTCCAACACACTCTCCTCAGTTTTGGTAGCATTAGCACTGTTTGTGGACAGAAGCAGAAACAACGGCGGCCGCGACAGTCATACGTCGACGTGACAGACGTCTTCTGTGATTGGACACAAAACCCAGAAGTGCTTCTACGGTCCATGTCAACAAAAACATGGCTGGGTTACAGAAGAAGGGACACAGCTGCTCTTATTAGGACAAATTCCAGGGGGAAACATCCGTCCGATTTTCATATGAAAGTATCCAGCCTTCAAAGTTTTCCTCCTGTTTTTTGCGGGGCTTGTTCCATGTGAAGACAGAGTAAAGACAGAATCATGCACAAGCTCTCAAGGGCAACGCTGTGCCTAAACGGACTTGGTCGGTGTTTAATTGCAGAAAAGTATGTATCTGCTATAAAAATCACCAGCAGAGGATTTGTGTGTGCAGAACATAGGGACGAGTCTGGCAAAAATGAGGTTTATGATGTTATTATTTCCGGGGGAGGAATGATTGGATCTGCAATGGCATGTTCCTTGGGTGAGTGACATATTTGTTCATGCAAACCTGCACTAGATAAGATAAACCCATAGAAACGTTTGTGTATTAGTCTTAAAGCTACTAAATACTAACTCAATTATGCAAAAGGGGAATAAACAGTCTTCTACAATGTGTTTTACACTCGCAACCTAAATATATGTTATTCTTACTGTATCAACACTGCTGAGATCTAAACACTGTATCGACGCTGCTGAGATCCATTTATGTGCTTCCAATTGTATACATGTTTTTTGCCAGGCATGGATCCCAACTTGGAGGGTAAGAAGATTCTTCTCCTTGAAGCTGGCAACAAGAAAGTGATGGACAAGGTCCCAGACACCTACAGCACCAGAGTCAGCTCCATCAGTCCAGGCTCCGCCTCCCTCCTCACGGGTAAAGTATATACTTAAACAACCTGGCACAAACAAAAATGAACATGTCTTATACTATTTTTGGATTATGTTCTTTTTTAAAGGCGTTGTACTTTTGAAAAGACAAATTCATCACGGACAGAAAATAAATCTAAAAGTTATTTATTTTGGGATTACCTCCCTTCCTGTGAGAAGTTAAATGGCTCCCACAGCGTAATCATGGTATCAGACACTGTCCAGTCACCCAAGCTTAGCAGGGATCATACGTGACCGGACTTGTTCCTCCCTGGGCTTGATGGATTTGTCTGCGAAACATTTTCTAAGTCTTAAATTTGCCACAGTGGATCTAGAATCCATAGAAATAGCTAAACATTACCCATAGACGGTGCATCTAGTTATTAACCATATTATAGTTAAAAAGTACGGAGCAGATTCATTTTGTAATTTTCCGCAGTGTTTAGATCAATTAGATGATTTCCTCTGCTACCCCAAAAACAAACAAATACAGATTTATAATAATAATAATAATAATAATAATATTACTTTGGGTAAATTAATTTGATTGTTTGAAACATGAGTTCATCCACATTTATCATGCTTGATGTCTTAATTGTTTAAGGTTAGTTTATGTTTATTGTAAATCACAGGGTTGCACAATGAAATGCAGTTATAGTCCCTTCATGCTAAATAACAAAAACAAAAAAAATAGCATGAAACAAAGCAAAAATAACAACCATACATTGTCACGTATTACGCTGCACCATTGTATTTTTATAACAGATAATATATGCACAGGTGCCAATGAGAAACAGACACACTTGAGCTTTGCTCTACATCTCAAATAACCTCCTTGACCCTGTTAAACCGGTTTATCTGATAAAAAATGTTGCCAGTTAAATGTCAAGAGAGAATTTGATAAGAATGCAGTGGTGTGTGGTCATAAAGTTATTGTAAATGTTGTGCTTTGCTGTGACCTCGATGCCTCCCAATGGCGCCTGTGCAAAAATTAAAAGGCAACAACTTGTAGCAGTAACTTAAAACAATAATTTACATTCTTATTCTATTATATTTGAGGTAATTCCATAAGATATTGCCCTGAACAGAGTCTTTTTTAAATGGATTGGCTTTAAGTCATATGCACTTGACTTCCACTGAGATATGTTACATTCATCCAAATCATCATTTTGATTGATTACAATTATTTGAAATATATACTACTTTAGGTATACATTGTTGCTTTCAATTGGTGTTGTAATTATTCTGAAATGTGTTTCTGCACACACACAGGTATTGGAGCATGGGATCACATCACACAGATGAGGTGCAAACCCTATAAAAAGATGCAGGTATGTTGAAATATTGCATCACAATGTTTTAGTAACTCACATTTATGTGGTTAAAAGTTCAGAGAAAACAAACAAAAATAACTAAAGCCAACTTCAATATGGAGCATCTTCCAGAAACCTCCTTTTACACAATTTGAGTTCTTCTTCGCTTGTCTTCCAGACTTTCTAGTTTTAAGAATACTGTATGTATTTCTGTCAACCATCAATCACAGCACCATACAATTTGTGGGGAGAAAAATCTGTGACACTCGGCTTCTACTCATTCATCTAGCTTAATGAACAAGCAACACAATACTGTGTCATATAATCATGTGTATGGTATGTAATTGTTCACATAAAAATGTCTGGAAGCAGAGGTTTCATGTAACATGCATTTTGTTCATACCTTCATGCAATTTCTGCCTTAGTTTTGAGCAGCTTGGCAGGATCTGTGGCAAGAGCAATGCCAAAGAACACAAAGTATATTTATAAAAAAATCTAAAAGAACATTTCCTCCCATATTCTAAGTACTGGAGTTTGACCGTGCAAGTTTTATTTATTAAAGCCATGTTTTCAATGAAGGATAAATCATTTTAACATCCCCAAATTGGTAGTCACTCCCCACATCTTATAATTACGAAGATTCATGTGAACAACGGGAAGAAGATGAAAGATTGGGAGAGCGGTTGTTTGCTGCAAAGTGAACCCGCTTTACGGCTCTGGGTGCAGGCTCAGTCGCTCTTGTAAGATGTGGTAGGTGTGAACCGAACACCCGACCGCAGGGTTTCTCTCTGGGCCTAAGATGTCATCATGCAGTGCCTTACAGTGATTATGGTAGTATACCTCTCCCATTATACCTTCACTCTGCTACCACTGCTTTGGCTTGTTTGCCGATTGAATCTCAGTCATATACATTTCACTGGAAAGTATGTACTGCACATCAGCTCCAAATAACATTCTTTCCATGCAGTAAAATGCTCATCCACGTTAAATGTCCAGTAAGCATTGAGGGTTTAGATTGGAAACACAAGGAAAACACAGTTTTCTTCCATTCAAGCATCATTTTGGCTACTTTATTCTCTTTAAAGTTGCAAGTAGGTTTATTCTTTGAATCGTGAAGTATGTAGTAACACATTCTCACCCCAAAGCTGCATCATTTCACCCAGCACTAAACAAAACCAAAACATTTTTGGGCTGGTCTCCGTAAATCTTTCTTTCTAACCACTTATCACAAGTTGCAAACCCACTGCCATTAGTGGTTTTCTGTAGGGTATGTCCCCCCTACTTTATGGCAAGTTGGAAAAAAGCAGTGCAGCAGCATATTACTGCAAAATGAAGGGTTTTGTCACCATAGTTACAACCCAGGAGAGGATTAACCTTGTACAAACACTTTTCACCCCCACATGTTTCAGTCAAACAGTACTTTCAGGGTTGGAATTAGAGTAACCTAAAACTATATCTCATTCTGCCACTTTCGGTTGCGGATAAATATTGACTCCCTCTTTATGTTCACAAACACGCATTGGTTATTTATGTTTCCAAGAAAATGTTTTTTAAAAATTCACATCACAAAATGTCATTTAGTCTTCTACCTCAGAGAGCTCCATTAAGCTGAAGGCAGCCGAGCAACCGGAGGGTGTTGGTGACCCTCATGGCTCTGGGTTGATGTCTGTAGGCTGTGCCAACCTTAGACAGCAGCTAACAACTTTGATGTGTTCAGCTCAATGAAGCTGCACTTCTCTGCCCAGCTATAGCATTATAGCATTTAAGGATAGAGTTGTAGACCACAGGCATAATGAGTCTCTCATTTAGGTTTGGGACTCCTGCTCAGATGCCCTGATCACATTCGATAAGGACAACCTGGAGGACGAGATGGCATACATCGTGGAGAACGACATCGCTGTGGCTGCTTTAACTAAACAGCTGGACAGCCTTTCTGGTAAGCACAGCAGTTATGATTAAAACATGAAGCCCCACACAGTAAGCAGCAGTGCTCTGTACGACCTTTTGATTCCTGTTCCTTCTGCCTAATGGCTGCTGAGTCTGGCAGCTAATGCAGCCACATTTATTCCATCCTTCCCCCAGGTTTGTTTATTTGTACTCTCTCCTGGTGACTGTTTTTAAAGACGAGTTAAGCCCATGGAGCCGTTAATGTTTTTCCTGCAATTTCAATCAAACCCTCACATTTTGGGAACTGCCGGGCCCCGTCACCCTCTGAGGACACGTGAAGTGGTCCAGTGATCTATTTAAAGTTGCCATGTGCTCCCAAACTTCACCACCTCTTAAGACACCAAAGCCCTGACAGTGTATGGTGCTGTAATGCTGTTGACATTAGACCAACTTTTGTGAGGTTCGCAAATAAAACTTTGCTTTGCTACGTGCTTGACAGTATGTGACATATTTATAAAACAGTTTTCAACATTTTGCACCAAACAACGGATGTGTGGTTATGGCACGTTTTTGCCTCATGTGCCTTCCACTGTGCTTGCTTCTCTCTCTCCTCCCATTTTAGCCGTGGTGTTGTTACACTCAAGATGCAGTACATGAAAAGTGTGCACCACGACAGCTGGTTTCAATGTAACCCTGCTCTCCATCCCCTGGAAACCCACACTTGACATTAGCGCTCAGAAACCAGTAGCAGATCTGTGCATGGGTCCCACTCCAAGTCAGCACCAGGCAGCGTAGCTCGGGATCCTTTCATGTTTGGGTTGACCTGCTGCTGATATTTTAGGAAGAGTGCAAAATCCAAAAAACAGGCAGCATGTGCAAAGTGTGGCGTGGTGTTTTTGTAGATAAACACTATTAGTTAGGGCAATGTGGCAGGCCAAGACCATTAGGGAGATTGTCAAATATCAACTTTTGCAGCTACTGTGTGCCAGGGAGAAAAACCAATGACATTTTATGAAGTGGTTTATAGATCTCCCACTGCTTTGGCTGCAGAAAAAAAGCATCCTCTCGTTTTGGACATAGAAAGTAGTAAAGCACTGATTTAGTGTGATGCTACAAACACACAACTGAAGATTGATCCTCTTGTTGTGAGAGCCACACCAGTTGCCATTTTTTTTTTAAGAACCACTGCTTTGTTTTTCTCTTCTGTCGCCTTTGTAGTCACCACGTTTATGTCCTTGTTGTTTGTCAGATAACGTGCGAGTTCAGTACAGGTCCAAGGTGGTGAAGTACGCATGGCCGATGCCCCACCAGGCAGCTGACTCTATCCCATGGGTCAAGGTCACGTTGGCCAGCGGAGAGACGGTTCAGACCAAGCTGTTGGTTAGTTTAATCCCATCAACACAAACTATAAGTCTGCATTTCTTTAAGCCTTTTTTGTTTTTTTTACTTTTGCTCATCTGTTTTCAGATCGGTGCAGACGGACCAAACTCAATGGTGCGCCAGGCCCTGGGGATACCCACAGTCAAGTGGAATTATGACCAATCAGCTGTGGTCGCTGTGCTGAATCTATCAGAGGTGAGCATCACATTCAACACATACTCCCCACAATTTATATCCATACAAGATACAATTTACTGTTAAGTGTTTTTATTATGATAGTAATTTTAATGTCAAATCCATCCAGAAGTACCCTTTGTAATATCTTGTGCAAGATATGTAATTAGAAATGTGTGCCATACAATGCAATGCCACAATACTTCAGTATGATATTTAATTAAATCTGATTTATGTGTTGTACAGCCCACAGAGAACAATGTCGCATGGCAGCGGTTCCTCCCAACTGGACCCATTGCAATGTTACCGGTAATATATCCGCATTATTTACTGCAGTATTTTTTTCTACTCAAAGTCTCCTTGGGTCTCATAAGTATTTGATAACTCTTCACTGACCCCTCTCTGTGCCCTGCAGCTGTCGGACACAGAGAGCTCTCTGGTGTGGTCGACCAGCCATCGGCTCGCAGAGGAGCTGCTGGAGCTGGATGAGGAGAGCTTTGTCGACGCTATCAACTCTGCCTTTGTGAGTCATGCCTTGTTACCATTACACTGCTGATGTTGTGTTCATAGACAGTCTAGAAGATATTGCAAAATCTGTATTTGTGCTACATGTGGCAGGGATTCTCCATAGACCCACTTAAGTGTTGAGCTGTTTTTCTGTGACTCATACAAACAATGCTGTCATTGTTTGGCCCAAAAGTTATACAATACTAATATTTCACTAGGAGAATGGCATACCTATCCATTTTTCTTGTGTTTGGAGAAACTCCTTTTTCCCAAGCTGGCTATTTTTACTGGGCCTGCTGATGGACGGGGTCACCACGGTTGAGTCACGTTCGGTTTCAGGCCTGGTTTGCTAATTAAACCTGTGGTTTCCCAGTGTCGACCATTACTGCATGGAATGTTTTTCAAACAGAGCTAATTCAACTGCATAGCCAGGCCGGCATCTTCTTTTAATCAGCCCAGCTCTCAAAGCCCTGCCAAACCAGTTAGTTAGGGAGGGGAAAAAGAGCACTTTCGCTGGCCTGGAGTTCAGCTTTAGTCCTATGTCAGCTAATTTATTTGACCACTCAAAGGGATAATGTCTGTTTTGTCTCTCTTCTGGTCGTTATTCATTCTGTGTGAATATGTCTCTGTCTGTTTGTGCAGTGGAGTAATGAGAACCAGTCGGAGCTGATTGAGACGGCCGGCTCTCTGTTCCGCAGCGCCCTGTCTGTCTTAATGCCGTCCGCAGGTTCACCTCGACAGCTTCCCCCCAGTGTGGCGGGGATCAGCCCGAAGTCCAGGGTCATGTTTCCTCTGGGCATGGGTCATGCCTCAGAGTACATCAGGCACCGCGTAGCTCTCATTGGGTAAGATTAGCCATAAGGAAAGTAATGTTCTGCACATCTTGTAAGTCAAATACTGTTAAAAAAAAGTCCTGAATATCAAATTTATATGAGTATGCATAGGAGTTGTTCATTGTTTTCTCTACTATGCTATTGTAATTTAATAAATGTACTTTACTTTAGTCTTTTTAGTTTTCTGTTACTTTCAATGCAAATAATCTTAGTTAATTACCACAAAATATACCCCACATTATAAATGATGATGTTTAATAATGGATTCAGCTACCAGGCAGTATATAAAGTTGTTTTAATTAGCTCCACGTAACTAGCCGCAACATTAGTGATGCTAACATATCAATTCATCAATAATTATAATCCAGTGATATAATTATATTATTCTGAATGGGCCACTCTGCGTAATGAGTACTTTTACTTTGCTATTTCTAAGTATATTTTGATACAGAAGTGCATATTTTTACTTAAAGCTCCCATGTCATGGCCATTTCTACTGATCATAATTCCATTGTTGAGGTATACTAAAATAGATGTATACTGTGCAATTTTCCAAACTCACATTGGTTTCTCATACAGCATCTCTGTAAAGTATGTGTATTCACTCTCTGTCCAAACGGCTTGTTCGAGCTCCTGCCACCCCCTCCCTGTGAGCCCAGTGTGCTCTGATTGGTCGAGAAGCTGACAGGCTCGTTGCTGCTCGCACACACACAGACACACACCAGGCTTGGCGATACAGCTAGAACAAGCAAAACTCATCCTGAGCACACACAAACACTCACAGCCGAAGTAAAAACAATAAGTGTGGCTTGATAATGAGTAAGAAAAAGGTTTATAACGCTGTGAGCATGGGTCTGCAGAGAGCATTTCTCCGTGATCCCAACTTAGTAGCCCGAAAAACGTTTACCCATTTAAACAGTAGTGGTAGATACCTTGTTTGTTTTAAACATCATAAATACACAAACAACAATGAATACTTACAGGTTGTGTACCCGAATCTCCCGCTGGTCCAAACAAAGTAGGGACAGCATCGTTCTTCAGTGCCCTACGCTGTACATATCCGGCATGAATCGCTGAAAGGTTTGGGAAGCTTTGTTTCGTGAAAGGCTGGCAGCGGGTGCGGCCATAGCTCTGGGCGTGGCTACTGGGTATCCCTACGTAGCGATATCCAGGAAGAAAATGAGAAATCTCCAACGAGGCGTGTTAGAGTTTTACTCCCTACAGGGTGTACTTTGAGGGTTTTTGACTCTGCAGACTGTTTACATGCATAAAAACCTTCATTAAACACAAGGGGACGGGTAATAACCGGAAAAGCATGACATGGGACCTTTAAGCAACAGTATATTTTCCTTGTAGTATTTTTACATTGTGGTTTTGCTACTTTTTTTTAAAGTAAGAGATATGATCTGTTCTCCATCACTGGTTTTTCTCCCCGGGTTGAGGAATGACTAGTTTTGGCGCAGCGCATAAAATAGCCCTCTGTGAGTGGAATGCATATGAGGGATATGTTTGTCTTTGCAGGGATGCAGCCCATCGTGTCCATCCTCTGGCGGGTCAGGGAGCCAACCTAGGCTTTGGGGATGTGGCTTGCCTCACAAAGATCCTGAGCCAGGCAGCCTTTGACGGGAAGGACTTGGGTCAGTGAGAACTCTAAAAAGACACAAGCGCTGCAAACCATAGTGGTTTCCCCTAAACTCTTTTCCATAGCCCCAACTCAAATGCATGCTGTTGATCCAAATTATAAAAAGCAACAGCTTTTCCGGCAACATTTTATTTGATGTTTTTTTTGTCTCTTCATTCTGCCAAGAACTCTATGTAAGTTGGGTTTTGAAAAAAAATGAAATGCTGTTATGAGAAATGTAGTTGTTTCCTTCCACTGTTCCTTTCCCTGAAGTCAAAGCAGCACCAGTGTTTTGACTTAATGCAGAAAAGATATGAAAGACAGACACAAGCTTATACTGTGTCTTCATATTCTCTTTGTTTGTTTATGCAGGAGCAATACAGCACCTGTTAGAATATGAAACAGAACGCCAGCGGAAAAATCTTCCCATGATGGCCGCCATCGACCTGATGAAGCGCCTTTACTCCACTAACGCCGCTCCCGTGGTTCTCCTACGCACCTTTGGTCTGCAGGCCACCAACATGATCCCAACGCTAAAAGTAAGCTCCTCTCTTCTAGCTTCTAAATCCAAACATATGTTCCCACACATTCCAGTGGACCTGGCCATCTCACAGATAATATAAACCACCTGAACTCCGCCTCCAACCTGACCCCACCCTCCACCCTCTTTTTCTGATTACACGGAGCTTTACTTTAAAGCTAAAAGCTTACTAGCGGTGTCTATAATTTCCAGGGTTCAGAACCTACTACTATGGCATCTAAGTTTAGCCCCAAATTTAGTGTTACCAAAAGTGTGTGGGTGGGGTGCTGGGCTGGCCCTCGGGCAGCGGACAGCGGTGTTGGCTTGTGTTTTCACACCCCTTTTATTACCGACCACTCATGTGAAATGACTTTATTCCCTACTAAGTGATTCAGACCAACACAACTGTAACCGGTTGTAAAGGCAGTTCACCATGGTGGCACAAAAGTTAAACGTAACTTTTTTCCATATTAAATGTTGAGAGTTTGCTGGTTTACAGGTCTTGTTAAGAGGCCAGCAGTGCCACGCACTTGTTACAGGCTTTTTGTACATGTGACTCAAAGGTTACGGAGTTTCTGAGGACATGTCTTTTTTTTTCCTCTACAGGAGCAGATCATGTCATTTGCAAACAAGTGATGCATTCGTTTTCAGTGGATCTTTAAAGATTGTAAGTTTCAGAGGCTGTAAAATGTGTGAATGTAGAAACAATTAAATACTAAGATATATTTTAACCGTTGTGATTGTCTTCTTTCTTGTCTTTGGTGCAAAATTAACCCACATCTACAACACTGCATTGTAGCTGGTCTGAGCACATCGAAATATGTCAATGCTAGTTTACAGAAAGCAGAAGAATGGCAGAGTAGACTTTAATAGCTGTTTATTTCATTGCGTTATCACTCATTTTCCACATATTGAGCAGCCCTAATGAAGAGCTACATTCTCGGATGAAGGTAACAGTATTGAGAATGAATAGTCATAATCCAATGTTTGTAGTTTGATAAGAAGCTTAATTTTATTCTCAATTTTTAAAGGAAAAATAACGTTTACTTCATTGACAATTTGAAAAAGAGAAGACTGTCTGGGTGTAAAAATGTAAAAGTACACAGAAAGTATATTTCTCATGTTTTATTAAAACATACATGGATACAATACACTTTTTCACTGGATTTAATAAAAACAGCATTTTACATATTTTCAGTCATCTTGATATTCATACTGATACATACATACAGGTATATCTGATCAACTGCAGCGCAAAGTTTTTGCAACGTAAAAGCAGTTCCTGGAGAAGATTTCACTAATACACATTTACATTACGTATATACAGCAGTAGTTATTTAAATACTGAAAGAACAGCAAAAGCATGGTTTACAGAACAGTTAGATGCAAATGTTAATGTTGGATAAGGATAATTAAATTATATAAAGTTATATAAATATTTGTACAATTCACAAGAGCATTCAAAAACATAATTCATAATGGCTAATGTTTTTGAGAAAACGGCATCAAATGAAAGAGCTGGGTTTTAAAGCTTTTACATTTTTTGCTTACATTTTTGCTGTTTTTAATAGCTGTAAATTACGTTGTTTGATTCACTATCCATGCTTAATGAGAGGTTATTTTAACCGCTTGTCTAAAATAAAGTTTGACCTTGGGCCCCTGCAATTAAGCAATGCTGAAGGTCCTTTCCACTGTAGACAAAACAAACAATAATGGCTGGACTTTAAAACTACAGACATTAAGCCCATACATGTAACAGCTATACAATTCAGTCTGCCAGAGGCCTCTCCACGGCGCTCTCTGAAGTCATGGTCAATCCTACTCTAGTTGATGAATATATACAACTCTTTTGTCGATATCAAAGCAAACTTCTTAGCTACACTATCTGCAGATAAAGTGTTATGTGCAAAGTTGAAGAAAATAAGCTGTACAGTATGGTTAAAAACTACTCTATTTCCAATAGTGACTATGAGGCAATGAATTCAGGTTAAAATAATTAACCCCTAGAATGTGAAGAAAGTTGATTTACAAGCATGAAAGATTGTTGCTGTTTCAGCAACTAGTCTCTAAATAAATCCCACTGTACTGTACAGTGCACACCAGGATCATAGTAAGTATCATTATACCATGCTGGTTACCCTCCACACTTAACAGGCAGGCGAGAAAGACATTTCAGATCAGACACCCCTATAAGGAATCAAAAATGTAAACGTTTTTAAAAAAATAAAGTCAGCCCACCAGTTATGAGCTCAACATACAGTAGAAATAGCTGGCCTTATAAAAATATAGTGATTTCTTTTTTCAACTGTTCTCAGAGTGTTCGCAGGGTGCGGAGGTTGAGGGAAAAAGAGGAGGGGCGTGGCGGGACCAGGTGTGTCTGTTCAAGAGTGGACGGAGGACGGGAAGCCCAAAAGTAACAAACTGTCCCTCTCAGTGCCGGCTGCAGTGACAGCGAGCCGTCCTTAGTGGATGTTGAGGTTTCTGAAGTAGTCGAAGGTTGCCCCCAGGGCCCAGCTCGTCTCCACGTTGTTCACCTTCTTGGCTAGCTGTTGAACAGATTGACAGGGTGGGGGGGTCATTTAAACCACAACGAAACAATTTCAACACTGTACAGACAGAATATGAACATTTTGTCATGTAGCTTTTCATATTTTTTATCTCTTAGACTCCTACTGTCCATATAGTAATCTAGCACTGAGTCACTCACCTGCAGCACAGTGCTGTCCTTGAAGCCAAAGCCGTCCTTTAGCAGACAAGTGATATATGTTAAATCCATGCAGAGGAAGGGGCTGATAGCACGGTACTTGGTCATTTTGTTGCACACTGCAAACACAAATAGCAACAGGTTTAATATACAATTGACAGAAAAAGGATATTACACCTTGTTGCATTATATCACGATGTCACCTTCCATGTTTTAGCAAATAAGAAGCCTTTCTAACCCTATGCTACATGATTAAAAGATAACCTATCTGTTTTGTTTGGCTGAATAAACAGGGAGGTGCGAGGAGAAGGGCTGAGGGTCAGCACAAGGCTGCAGCAGGGTGGCGGTGTTAAATAGCCGTGTACACAGTTTGTGTGTTTCAGTATGTGTCAGCCCCCAGGTGGTGTGTGGCTGTCAGGTGCCCTCTTGCCTGCACCAGACAGACATCTTCAGCCCAGCTGCCAGCCTGAGCTAGACATGTTCCTCAAGACCATGTGACAGTGTTCTCACAACACAAACAGCCTTATATAACACACCAGCTCCTTCCTACTTGCTCAAATCTGGTTCTACATGGACATTGCAAGTGTCAATCACTGAAGCTAATGAGCGCTACAACGTTTTACAGTGGTGTTAGCATGTGTTTGATCTTTTATAAACTACATTTGTCTTATAACCCATCTCCATAATAAATGTTACTACTGTATTACATTATTTTCGACAGGATGGGCTCTGCCAATTGTGCCAAGTGTTTTTGCTGTTTAGGGCCTGAACTGTTAAAGGACTGATATCACTTGTAGATTGTTGGGTTCATTCACATGTGTATGAAACCCTCAAGAAGGTAACTCTTACCTTCTTTGGCTCTCTTCTTAAAATCCCTGACTTCAACCGCACCACCTCGACTGCCATCTGTGCAGAAAAAACAAACATGCAATTTGAATACCTATTTTGTGCAGGGGAAGATAATTAGCATGAAAGACGATGGCACTGGAAGGTTACTCTTTGCTCTGCACCCACTCACCGATGAGGCCAGACTCCACAGCTCTGTCGAAGTAGTAAGAAAAGGCGTAGAAGACACTGCTGCCCTTCACTTCATAAGGCTGGTGCACTATTCCTTTGATTACCTTCATAACCTCATAGTAGCACAGCTTATAGCCTGCATAGCCTGTAGAGAGAGAGAAATGGTTAAATGTAGACAAAATAAGTCTTAACTTATATAGGAAGTGTTTGAGTAAACAATGAGTTAAAGGTGTTTTGGGGCAGCGATGTTTGGAATGTCATTGTGAGTCTGGAGACCGAGTTTGAGGTTGGACGGTGTCTGAAGCTAGGGGTTCACCGTACAAGGGAAGCCCCAGAAGGACAAGATTCACACAGCCCCATGGGTATGATTGGCTCAATTGTGCCGGCAAAACCATGTGATAACAAGAGCGGCAGTGAGTGCGGCCCTGTTGGGCTGTCTATTTTTACCACATAATTGTGAGCGGTCCAGATCAAGCCGCTCGTTACACACAAAAAATAACAACTCAGGGACAAGCCCAGCATCTTTTGGCTACTTGACTGTGGTATGGGAGTGACTGCCTTATTTGTGAAGTTAACTGACAGTTTTCTTTTCGTTTAAATACAAGGTTGACTGCAGTATAATTGTTCAAGAGGGAACACAGAGAGAGAGAGGATGACAAAACATGCGTTTGGCGCCAAGGTTACAGAAACTTCAGTGCATAAATGCTCTCATGAGAGACTGTATTATACTGTACTCGACTGTTTACTGGAGTTGAGAAAGGAATGTGTGGATCACTTCATCCAAAGCACTGGGAAAGCAATCTAAACCTCAGGGTGCTTTTATCTTACCGTCAGGAATCCCGCTAACTTTGTAGGTGGTTCCACCAAAAGTCACGTTTTCGGTGAACTTTTTCGGGAGGCAGGAACTTGAGAAGACTTTCCAATCTAGACCTGGGAAAACAACAACAACAAACAGTTTTGTAATCTTCCCTTTATACATTTATGAAAGAATGGCCAAGACGGCAAATAGGGAGGCAATAAGAAAATACTTTACCATCGGCTCCTAGTGCTCCAAGAGTCGCCAGTCGGGCCGCAAAAAGTCCATTTCCCAGGTAGCTATTTGATATTGACATATAGAATATGAGTTATTAAGCAAAATCTAAATAATTAAGGATATAGCATCTTCTTTATCTGTTATTTACCTGTGTGTGTAGAGTTGATAGGTATGTTTGAAGAGGTTGAAATTAGAAATATAAGTGGCGGGAGCATCCTGAATCGTTTTCTGTTGGATAAAAAACAATGTTAGTGTTGCATTTTTGGTAGGATATTATTTAAACAAGCTTATACAGGACATACAAAACTTCACCTTTGACTTGGGAAGGAACGTGATCTGTGTAGATCCTCCACCCAGGTCCAGGATGCCCACTGTCCTCCTTGTGTTGGAGTACAAGTGACCTATGGAGAATAAGCTCAACGTTAAAACCATGATATGACTCCTCTTCAGTGAAACAAACAGAGCATACTGTGTATTACTTTAGCTTAATCACCAGTTTTAGTTAGAACTCGTTCCATTCACAACCACTACTGTCAGGATGATGCATGCTTACAGATTACATTTTTCCCCACCAAGAGGGAAAAACATTTATAGTTTTAAGATTAAGGTGGTGGTTTAAAATAAATGAGATGATTCCATAGCTGTGTGAAAAACGTGAGGAAATGTTGCTTGTTTTTGCAACCTGTTTGGGGCCAGTGATTCAAACTCATAACCTCAGACAGGAGACAAGAGTCTTTCACTGCCGGGCTTCTGTGTACACTGGAGCCTCAGATATGAGCCTCCTGACCACTAACACCAGCATAGCAAAACACAAGCAATGTCTTACCTGTAAGGAAGTTCACTGTGACCCAGGCGAGGACTCCTAAAACAGCACATGGGTGAAAATGTCTGTATTAGTATAAAAGCGATTACAACTAACCTAGGCTCAACTTTCACATTTAAATGTCTTAACTTTTTAGTTCAGCTCTCTGTCATTATGCTGATATTAAAGTTGGTGTAACCAAAATGCAGACCAGCCCAGGTAATTACAATTGTCTCGGATGTCAAGTTATTGCGCTCATAAAGTAAGGATAATGAATGGCAGATATTGTATGATGAAACATTACATTGTGAGGGTGTCTTAATGAGTGATGTGGAGGATCGCACTAAATTATTGGGCGTGGGGCAACAACTCACACTGGCTTACTTATTTGTCTCAGTGAGGTAGAAATAGAGCTCTTGTAAAAACAATTATGAAAGAAGCATTGTCTGATGCATCCGGAGTAAAGGAGGCACTTAAAGCACCTGATATATCAAATATAACTGTCTTAAATAAAACTAATACAAATCATATGTTTTGTTTATTATATTTATAGTACGAATTGATTACAGGACATTGAGATTTCATTTACCTTCTTTTGCTCCGTTCAAGATAGAAACACTGTTGTTTGGCACGAAGAAAGGGGACTCGTCAAAAACCTCTCGCACCTGTAGATGTTTAATAACAGTTATCAGCTGGATCTGTTAAAGCACAACAAATGTTCAAGGCTGCACACCCAAATATTCTGCTAGTGGCAGGATAAAGTGTATTCAGGCTCTGGTTCTGTTTTAGAGTGACAGATAACCCAACCACAAACATGCTGGAACAGTAGCCTGGATTTAATACTCTAAATGACAAATATGGTTACTCCACACAACCCAACAACAGCTGTTTTTTTGCAACATGATAGCCACCAAATGGGCAGACTTGCTGCTTTTTTTCAGTGACACTTGTAAGCACTTAGTGGTTTCTCATCCCGTTCCATGGCGGGATGGGTGCTGTTTATACCAAACTGTCTGACGGCAGAGAGAAAACGTGTCTTACCTTCTTCAGAAGAGCATTTGCCTTATCCTCAGGCAGCAGACGCAGACCCGCTGTGGCCTTCAGGACCACCGGTGTCCTCCTCCAGTCCTCTTCTGGCACTGTCTTCTTGGCAATTTTCAGCAACTGGCGGATAGTGTTGCCACCCTATGGAAAATATGACAATCAGTTACAGGCAGCTTAGTCATCAAATGGAGGAACATTTCATAATCAAACTAAGATATTTATCCAGTGGTCAAAGTCTTTAAAAACATGTGTAAATCACAGGTAGCAGACAGCAGCAGTGACAGCATCAGAAGCAGGCATTTTTTGTAATTACACACTGTTTACATCACATGAACCCAACCCAAAGAAAATCCCAGTGGTTTTGCAGACTGTGAACAACTCCCTAATATACCTGATAATTAATATTGATTGATGGTTTAAAGGTGCATACATACCTCCTCAGGGTTGTCTTTATAGGCAGAAAGACCAGGCTTCACGGCGTTGTACATTTCATTGTCCAGGACTGGCAGCTCAACTAAAAAAAGACGTCAGTGTCAGTGAACAGATCATAAACAAGAGGGATACTACTGGGAGAAAAATAGAAACTCAACTACATATAATTGCATATTTTTCCTTTTGCAACTCATGATATTTAGACAGTATCACCTACACCCTGACCTGCTGCCTACACATATGAGTCAGGCAGTTAACATTACAAGTGAACCTCAGCCACTTTCAGCAGCTGTATTGCTCTGGCCCTGTGCCGGTGAATGTTTTTTCTCACACCACACAGTGAATGACCTAACAGCAAGTAGACAGAGTGGGAGCCAGCAGTATTTGCAAATCTCTACTATTGGTTTAGGTAGAGAGAGGGAAAGTGGTGCACTTACCAGGGTCTTTCTGGATGAACTTATAGATGTGGATCCTGCTGCCCGTGCTCCCAGCGTCAAACATGATCCCGTAGAAAACCCGGCTGGTGTTGACGGGGGAGGAGGCTTCAATCACCGAATGGAAAACCTCAGCTCGGTGGTAGGGCTCAGGTGCAGGATGCACGACTTCGGGCACCGGGTGGAAAGCCTCTGGTAAGGGGTGTAGGACTTCAGGTGCCGGGTGGAACACCTCGGGGATCACGGGGTAGATCGGCTCACCCGGCTGTGGGACTACAGGCTCCGGGTTGGAGACCTCAGGGAGGAGGTTCTCCGTGTTGGCAGAGTGCTCCCGGTAGCGGTAGACGTGGGGGACGTAGCGGTGGTGCCGGTAGTAAGTCGCCTCCACTATGAGGCTCCCAGCCAGGAGCCACAGGGAGAAAGTGAGGAGCAGGCTCGGCATGGCCATTGTTTTCACAGCCGGGGAAAGAAAGAGACAGGAATAAAGATGGAGGAGAAGAAGAAGATATGGTGGATGCTGCTGGAGTTAAAGATTGACAGGGGCCCCGCAGAGAGAGAGAGCAGTGGAGATGGAGAGACGCAGAGTGGATGCGATGCACACTCAGGACTGTCCGGTCACCCGTTCACAGTATATAAAGACATACGGGCTTGGCATGGGGCCACACCAAGTACAGCCATCCACCAATCCTGTGGCGGTCCATCCCAACTCCATCAGGAGTCCCCCCTCCTGTGAGCTGAGCTGGAGACCAACTACCTGCCTACCAACAACATTTTCTTTCTTTTTTTTTGTGGAGGATTATTTTTGATAGTGTTTTTTCCCCATCTCATCTTTACTGGTTATACCGGAGCCAAGAATTCCCCCAAGAAAAAGGATTGATGAAGAAGTCAAAATGAATGGGTTCACACTCAAGAAAACCAAAAATAAATGGTCTTATAATACTTTTTATGGGTGCATTTGCCTCAGAATGTCCTTCATCCGGCAACTCTTTGGACTTTAACAACTTAACAAGTGCCTAAATTAAGAGTGATGTAAGTTTGTATTTGGCAGCTCTAAATGCACATCTAAATCTCTTAAATTACACTAATTTTTGGAATTGAAAATATAAGTAATGGTTAGTTCTGTTTAATTTAAACTGCACTTGTGATCAAAGGATCACAAGCATCAATTAAACTGAAATTCTAAGTACTAATTTCAGAAAATGTGGCTCATTATGTGTTTTAATGGATTCTTCCTTTGTCTTATTAGGTATTACATCTACTAAATCATGTTAAGTAGCTCAAATGAATCTTGTGTTTTTTTTAATACTCTCAATCTCCTTATTGTGATCCTGCAATAATCACCACATTAGAGCTGCTACAGTCCTTTTACCAGCCTTAAAAAATGCAAATGTAACCTGTACTCCAGCTGGCATAAAAGTTAAAAGAATGTTAGCAATCATCTGACTCCCACTCATCCTCGTGTTAACCACAGGCTTTCCAAGGGAAAAATATTTGGACAGCACGGCACGTTTCACGAGAGAATGCATGAAAAGCATGAGTAGCTGTTTCTCTGCTTTTGGTGGGTGGTTGGCGCGCCATCATGAGCCATGCTGAAGTGTATCAGCTTATGCTTTCTTATGTGATGTGCAAAGTTTCTGGCTTTAGTGCAGGATGCAGAGGCATCAAGGATATCCCACAGCAGACACTCTGAGACCTTACATGAACTGAGTTTTGTACTGTGCTTTATATTTTTCACCCACTTTATATCAACAGAAAGAGGACACACATCTAAACCAGGAGCCGCTGGTAGACTAGCAATTGAGGCATTCTGGGGGAAATGACCCTGCCCCAGCACTGACCTAACATGAGCTTATACGAGGCTGTTTCACCTCAGGCAGCAGGCCGAAACCAAGCTGTCCACATCCCAGGCAGGAGGGTAAGGGAAGGGCAGAGGTCCTGCAGATTGGCACAAGAGAGTGCAGAAAGTCCACAGAGAGGACAATGTGGGGAGGGTGGGGCTTGGCACCAGCGTTAACCCATCATGCCATTCCACTCCCAGGACACTCAACTGTGCAAAGCACTGTTCCAACACTGTAATTTGGACTAAAAATATTGGACTTTCTTGCGTCCTTCCTTTTTTATAAATACTGTGGCTACTTTTTTCAATCCTGTGGCTCACCAGAATGGTCGTTTGCCCCTATCAAAGAGTACATGTGCAGGATCTCTCACTGAATCTCCCATAGATGTCTTGGTTGCATGTTAACAGTGTGTCAATGCGACAATAAACCCTGGATAAAGATGTCCCATTAAAACATATTGAAAGAAGCAGTGTTTTGTCCGGGGTGTGTCGTTATTTGGAAATCATGGTTCAATATTTTCTTGTTTTTAATGTTGAGACACATTTTGTGGTAATTTTAGTGATGTGATAAGTGATGTGGATAATGAGCAGTGTTTGGAAAAGCTGCAATCTACCTCAAGCCATTTGTAGCATGAATCACAGCATGTTTAGTTTTAATTACACACCTACTTTAATAATAGCATTATAATGCGCCTAAGAAGGTACTGCCCTCCCAGTAAAATGCCATGAATTTAGATTTTACAACTGAAACTCTAAATATTGAGTCTAGAAATATACATACAATAAACTAAATAATTCTAAAGGAACATCTATATGTTGCCAAATCATGTTAGGATGTCGTCCAAATGTGCACTGCTGTAAACTCTGTATGATAAGGGCCTTTCTACAGCATGACACATCACATTACAAACAATGTTCGAAAGGACATTTTGGTATTTTGTTTCAAGTTAACTGAAACCATAAAGCATGAAACGAGACCCCAGCTTTGTAATCTACACTGTGCAATATATCATTAATATGCTGCAATGTTACCCTCAGGAATGCCATGTTTGTGGGTGTCCTACCCCAAGAAGTCAATTGAAGAGACCCAAACCTTGTCATTACAATTCCAATGATAATGACAGCTTTGAAAAGCTCAGGGTTATTTCAGTTTTCTCTCCTCACTGTCATAGTAATTACCTTTAAATTTAGTCTTCAAGCTCTGTTGATGATGCCAGCGCTGTGAATGACCCTATATGATTCAGTTTACAGAAGCTACACCCAACACTTTTGTGATATTTACTTTCTTGTTTGATGAATAATCAACACTGGACACTCTCAGGCTTCTGCACAAAGCTGAACAAGATAATGGAGACAATTCTGTGGTTTCGAGCTTTAATTATGACCTACGCTAACCTTACATTGTTTTTTTTGGATTCAATTCTTGGAAGATGTAAGCCAATTGCATTTAGGTTGATCTCAGTGGTTTTCCCATAACTTTAGAAAAAGCACTGTGGGGATGGCAAAGACTAACACATAGTTCTTTTCAGGACAACCTGGACAATACTGCTGACAAGAGCCGAATGTTTTTCATGTCATCATGTGGGAGGAGATCATGTGCAAACAGATCCTGTTTGATGGAGCCCAGCAGAGAAGACTGTAATTACAAGAGAAGTGAGAAAGCGTGTCAGTCAGGAGGCTGTTGAGCAGAACAGACATCTGTATCTTACAATCTCCCAGAGTGATGGGTTGATAGATCAGAACCTTTTGGCAGACAGATAGACATAAAACCAAACCCTGCAACCAAAGTTAGAAAAGCAATAGGTGATGATATATAAATGCAAATAAGGAAAAGGGTGTTAGTTACAACAGTCAATACAACATGATTTCTTACGTTTTTTAATAGGGTTATAATTAAGGATTTGCTGTTGGTCCGTGACTCATATTTGTAATAAAAGAAGAAATGTAATACAACACTGGGTGTAAGACTCTTTGTTGGACATCACCGTGTACTGGGAAACTTTGAGGGCCATTTTTTTACGTTTACTGACTTAATAATTGTTCTTTGTTGATTTATTTTTGTTTAATGTTGGCTTATTTATTGTGATAAACTCATTTAAACTTTATATAGATGTGAATAATGTACTTTTTCATTCTGTTATGTTTATTATTATTGTTATATCACTATAATCCATTATCTTACTGTTACACACTTGCTTTTATATTACATGATACATTTACATTGCTAATTGTTTCATACCTGTGCATAACTGTGTATACAGGTTCACAATATAATAATATAGTGTGGTGTTCAGATAATAACCTTGTTCTGAACTCCATAAAAACAAAATAACTCATTATAGACTTCAGGAAAAACAGCACAACACCAAATCCACTGTACATCAACGGCAACTGTGTGGAAAGGGTTCCCGCCTTCAGGTTCCTCGGCACACACATTGCTAAAGATCTATCCTGGTCTATCAACACCACAACATCTGTGAAAAAGGCCCAGCAGCGACTCCACTTCCTGAGGATCCTCAGGAAAAACAACATGGAGGAGAAACTTCTGGTGTCTTTCTACCGCTGCTCCATAGAGAGTGTGCTGGCATATTGCCTAACCACGTGGTGTGCCAGCTGCTCAGAAAAGGACAGGAAATCCCTTCAGAGGGTCATCAACACAGCCCAGAAGGTCATCGGCTGCTCACTGCCTTCTCTGGAGGAACTCTTCAGCCAACGTTGCCTCAAAAGAGCAGGCAAAAATAATTGCAGACTTTTCACACCCTGGACACTTCCTGTTTGCTCTTCTGCCCTCCGGTAGACGCTACAGGTCAATTCAATCAAGGACAAACCGACTGAAAAAAAGTTTCTACCCCAGAGCCATACGAGAACTGAACACCGTCAAACGCTGAACTGAACAGTTACAACTTGCAACTGCACTACTTTTTAATAGTTTTATTAACTTATTAACTGATCGACATCAGAGNAACCCAGGCACACACATATTTTGAGTGTAATATCCCCTTTTACACATCTTATGCATCATTAACACACGTTTCCCTGTAATTTACCCAACATATTTTGTATCTTTGGAAACCTCTGGATCGTGGGTAGGCTTTAAACCAAAGTGCTGTGGGCTGTAATTAGGTTTGTCGATGCAAATACAAAATATGTTGGGTAAATTACAGGGAAACGTGTGTTAATGATGCATAAGATGTGTAAAAGGGGATATTACACTCAAAATATGTGTGTGCCTGGGTTTACTCTGGTTTCCCCCACAGTCAAAATACATGCAGGTGAGGTTAATAGGTGGTTGGACTGTAGGTATGAATGCGAGTGATGGGAGAGGTTATAGCTCCCTGCAACCACGCACTCAACAAGTACATATAACGAATACATGGATATGCTCCATAAAAGATGCATCACAAGCTCTGCTTATGGTGTGAAATTGTCAGCTGTATTTATATCTAATTTTGCAAAGATCTTTACACAACAAGCATATTTGGCTTTCCGAAAACTTGTTAGCAATGCCGTTCACAAGTTTAAGTTGACATTAACCTAAAACCTTTGCCACAATTTGTCAGATCTCGCACGTATGTGTTTCCTAGACAGATAAATCAGACAGTGTGGTTTTGAAAAAGTTGAGAAAATGCTGTTTAAGTGTATGTTAGATGTGTGTTTTGTTAAAAATGTGTGTACAATATTTACTTTGTTGACCATGGGGTGAAGGAATCAGTCATAATCTGTGATAGCATTCACTTCTCCCTTTGGGGTGAATAGATTCAGAACCTGTTGCCGGTCCCATGAAAATCCTCAAGACACACATAATAGTCTCAGTTGTTTTATGTGCAGGAAAAGCAGCAGGGGTTGTCGATGTGGAAAATGTTGTCTTTGAGGCTAATCAAGGGAAAATAGGGTTGACGAGGTCCCAGAAATAAAGCAAACTATGTGAGTTTTGGGAATGTCCTTACTGACCATATGATGTCACTGGGGGCAGGTGCGTAGCTGACCCCCCATTTGTGGGACTGCACCACCGTGGTGATGCTGGACTGCTGGGGAGAACGACGGCAGCGAACACAACCATAGTCCTTCACAATACTGGAAAACAAATCAAGGTGCAGAAATCTGGATCAGTATTCAGTAATGAGTGCTCTTTTGTCACTTTGTGGTTTTTATGGTTGCCCCCTGCTCTGAAAGGCTTTATGTAATGATAGGAGCTGACAGACATAAGCCTTGATGTCACGTTGTTGTTTACTCACACAGCAGTCATCCTTTCATCACGGAAAGTCACAAAAGCGATGCCGAGCCTCTTCATAGAGATGCGGTTCTTCTCAGCATTAAACTCATCCGTCCGCTTTTCTTCTAACTCGCTGTAGTACTGCTCTGCATCCACCTGCAGAAAAAAAGTTGGGCACATATCAGCCACAGCACCTTCCACTCTCAGAGAGATCCCCAGACCAACAGTGCCTTCTTCTTGGTTGCAGTGCCATCCAGTGGTAACAGACTTTCTGTGCAGCACAACTAAGCTACAACACATTTACTTAATTTAAATCAAGCGGGTAAAAAGTACCTTTTCAAAGCCACAGAAGTCGCAGCAGAATATTTGAGCACATGGATGGATCTTGATCATGATCTTCCCCTCCTTCTGGGCCTTACTGGCAAAATACAGCCTGCCTTTCATTGCCTTCCGTCTGCAAAACACAGCGTTGTCAGATAAATGCATTCACACTGATCCCAAACTGAGTTTTTCCTATCTGTTAATGTACCTCTCCAAGTCCAGCCTCATCAGGTTGTGGACGTCGAGGCAGAAACGAATATCAGTGACAGTACAGCTGGGGTAGGCCTCACTAGTGAAGGGAGCAAAAGGAATTAATTGTAGTGAAGGTAGTCAAAATACTGCATGTATAAATGTGCGGATTTTGGTGACATAAGTAGCTGATTTAACTTGACTTAACAATGAAAAAGAGAAGTAAACATAAGTACTGAAAGTGTTTGGTGATGAGTCCTGGGTCAGAGATCTCTCTTGGTATGGACGTTATCATCAGCGTCCTGGCTACCTGCAACATACAGTACGATACATCCATCATTAGAATAATCTATAATAGACTCTTATCAAGAAGTATCAGCCACACTAGCACAAGTCTCTATGATTCTATGACTTTATGATTATGAGACAATGGGCACCTGGGCAAAGACATGTAAAGAATCCTACCACCTATCTTGCATTAGAGACACACATTCAAAGATACCTCTTTTTGGTCATTAGGCATCTTTTTGTAGACGTTTTGCACTATTTCCTGGACTTTTGTTTCTCCTTTCTGTCTCTTTCTTCGTTATTTTGTGTCTCTTGGTGTTTTTAATCTGTTTATTTGGGGTATTTGTCTTTGTAGCTATTTTGTGTCTCTTTATGATTGTTTGGTGTCTCTTTTGGGTCATTTTGTGTCTCTTTATGATCCTTTGGGTTTCTTTCGAGTCATTTTGTATCTCTTTGTGTTCTTTTTTTTAGTTTGTTTATGATTTTGCAACAAGACATTTTAGCAGTAACAGAAGCTTTGTTTGTGCTCTGCAGGCCGGTTTAGTAATCTGTGCATGTAAAGATGGTAATGACAAACATATCTTTACATGTAGAAATTTGGTGCCCAAATTAATTGTCCTCAAAGAATAAATCCTTATTAGTCCTTTTGACCGCTGACTTTCCTCGAGAAACATCAGCATGTTGACATCATTGGTCCAGAAATGAAGGTTAACTCTCAGAAATAGTCTTTTATTTTGCAGTGTAAAAATGGCCAGGCTTGATGTTTTAACAGAATACAGACCTTCTCATCTTCTCTGTACTCCAGCCGTACCAAGTGGTGAGCCATACACAACACCGTGATGATGAAGTAGACCAGAGCCAAGATGCTGTGGAGCCACAGAAAGCTGTCCCTACAAGAGGCACAAAAACTCTGCTGTAGTTTAAACAAATATAGATAGTCCCGTTTTTCACATGTCTGTGCTGCATCACGACATTTTAGAAGTGTTGGACTTACTTTGCGCTCACATTAGCCAGCGTTGTTCTTCCAAAGTTTTCAGGACTGTCTCCTGTAGAAATAATGAAACATGACAGAGGGAGACATTTACATTTTCTAATGAATTAAAGGAAACTCTGCCTCTTTTATCTGAAGCAACAATGAAGTCACCATTCAGAGAAAACGTTTTCCATCCAATGTAATGAAATCTCTCACATCTCAATGAAATTTCACTCTAAATTCGAACATTGCAGTCATGCCTAAATCTGCTGTTTTAATTTGGGCAACCTTTATTTTCCGTAACCATGGCAGCATGTCGCAGGGTGTTGGTTTATTTAATGACTGGGGTGACACACTGGTTCATAAGAGCCAGAAGTAATAAAAAACGTTCTGTGGACAGCCCTGCTTCTTGTAGACCCCTTAATGACTCCTGCATTCATCCTATTATGGAACGGCTTAGTCAACACTTCCTACAAAATAAGCCCACAACTGCCAAAAGGCATTTCTGCTGCGACTTAGCAGCTTTTCTGCACCGTCCCACCCCTGACACCTACATGTTGACAGGAAATTAAGCACTTTCTATTTCTATAAATCCGAGGCTTGATGAGTTGCCATTGGTATGCTAGCAACTCCCATTAGATAAAATGCAGCCTTTGTGTTTATAAGCAGAAGTAGTTTCACTTCATAAAGATGCTTTTTGGCCCTTTTTAAGTTAAAATGACCTTTCCAGCTGAATCCAAGTATAGTTTTAGTCTTTTTTTAAACTCCGCTTTACCGCAGATTGTTTTAAGCTATAGTTTTGGTGCATTAAAGCAATAAACCCTTTGGTGTGTAGATGTGTGTGATTGTCTCTGTGTGGCCAGGCTCCGATCCCTGTGTTTCCACTATGTGCCTCTCCTGAAGTAAAGGATATCCTTTTAGCTTTTTAAACAGTCGGCTGGCGAGACCATCATCTAAAGACATAAATACCCTGGAGGTCTCCGGAAAAGTTGACCGGCAGGATTACGGCCAAAGACAGCAGGCAAACCACCGTCATGAGCAGGATGATGTGGCGCTGGAAGGACAGGTATGTGACCGCATCGATGCCGCACTTGCTACGGATCTCCTCATCCCTGCGGGAACAGATAGAGGGGAAACTCAGAATCCAAAAATAAAAGAGTTCCTAAACACTGTATGCTACATGGATTGAAGAGAGATTTAAAAAATGATCTTCAGGTGTCAATAAATACATTTCCATATGCGAATAATCAGAGCGTTGCAATATTAATCAAAAATGTGTTGGCTCTGTCTATTTCCAGGACAAATAGACCTACATCTTATACCTCATCTTGAGTAAAACTGTGCCACTACTACTTTGATGCCAGAAGTTGTGGGAGGTTTAGGAAACCTAGTATTATAAAACTGAACAAAAAAAGCATAACATACTGTAAGAAGAAAAGATGCTGGTGAAATGGCCCACACATTGCGAACTCTCAGGGTGGGTTTGTACTTTCCCAGGGTGAGACACTTTCACGGTAGCTAAAAACAGAGGCACCCAAACTTAACCATAATACTATGGAAACCATGGACACCGTGGAAAGCGCTGTTTTACTGCCCTCAATCTGTTGTCAGACTGGAGCGAGAGCAAATATTCAACGGGAAACCACGGCACCAGCGGTCGCACGGGAACAGACTGGTTTGTTTTTGCTGCTAAATGACATATAACAAGACATTTTACATTTGCCGGTGACATCAGCTTTGAAGACACTGGGGCCAATAAAAGGATGGAAGCTAAGAGGAGACAAGTGTAAAAATATAACCAGGGCAACTGCTTAGTGTACTTACTTCATATGGTAAAGTGACGAGAGCCATGAGCAGAAGCCCTGGAAGTAGAGGAGAATCATAAAACAACCAATGGATTAGTTCTTAAAGATAATAAATGGCATATGTATGCAAGTCTGTGCACACCACATCTGGCTATTTGCATGCATCCACCATTTGCATAGTAATAAGGTCTGCAGAGGGACATAGAGGGGGAGATTTAATAGGTCTAGCCTGGAGCAGTAACCACTTTACTGCAGCCTCAGCTGTGAGTAGGCACAGGGCGATGACTCCAGTCTGACTCTTTGTCTTGCACCGTTAAAAACATGCACGGTGTGACCTCAGTCTCTCACACAGGTGTCATGGAGTCACACACAGTGCAGAGCTGAGTCATGCGCCAAACTTTCCTCTAGCAACAGTTGATGTATTGCAATCTCAGACATGTGTGTTGCGGGGTGAAAGTGACAGCTTGTAAAATGAGAACATGATCAGTAAGACTGCTAGACTGTGTGACTGCGGTTTTAATCAATCTGACACAATTATTCTGAGTTACTTAATGCCTTCTCCTGTATAGTAGTATTCTGCAAGTCTCAAATATATGAAGTGTACTCTTATTATGATATTTGTGGAGATTTAAACCATGAGTGGTGCTGTAGAGCAGTCTTACAATGAGCCATTGTATTTATTGACAGCTTGTGTTCTACCAGCATTACTACTGTACTGTATGCACTTAAACACATAGATAAATAGTCACGTTTATTGTGAAAAGCGTGACACGAACTGAAAAAAAGGAATAAAAAAGGAATGAAAATCAACAAGGTACCTTGTATTGATTTGAAAATGCTTGGTGCTTTTAGGAGCTGATAAAAAACTCAGAACCAAACACAAAACTCACCATGTCCTTGGTGTCCGAGTCGGAGGGGCTGGACTCTGACGGAGACTTCTCCTTCTCACTTGGTTCGCCATAAAACAGGGACGTGAGACTGAAATTGGAAAACAAGATGATAAAAAAGAAATGTCAACATTATCATATTACCAACAAGACCTCATCAACAGATCCATTATGTACAGTAACTCAGTGCTGTAACAACGAAGAGGTTATGTAACTGCTGCAGACAGTCTGAACCCAATACTGTGTGAACATAGAGAAGACATAAAGCATGAAGACATAAAACACATCCAAGGTCCAATCTAATAAAGCCAGTGTGATGATAGAATCTATGGCTATTTCTCTCTGGGCTGTACCACGGACAATTCAACAGCGTCTCAAATTAAGCAGTATAATTGAATTAAGAGGGAGGACCGCTTGGCGAAACACACAGATGCTGTGCCGCCCTCGGGTGCTGCGAAGCCGCCGTCGGTCAAGCAGAAATAATCCAGGCCGCTTTCCCCTGAGAGCAGACTCAGGTCAAGCAGAGGAAAACTGCTGCAGACTCACACAGACGGCTGAGTGGACCTACACTCATTTTGGATCCTTAAATGTATATTAAATGATTATTGATTAAAGTTTGAGTCTGACCTCTCTCATAATGATTTACAGCAGCATGAAAGCAATTACAATAAGGAGGCTTGAATATAATCCACCACCTTCGTTGAATGGTTGACAAGAATGATGATTAATATAGGAAAAAATTACATATAATTAATTGCAAAGATTGCAGAGGTCATTTTTTTATAGAAAGGTGGGCACCAATAGTGCAGGTTATTAAGCTATCAGATATTATATTTTTATATATAAATGATATATTTATTCTTAAATGAATAATATGTATATTTTATTTTCATATGTTTATTGGAGTGAACATTTGTGCCTTTGTAAAGTTTAACTTATGTATACATTTTTTGTAGTTTTATTTACATATTCTTGACTAATTACCATTGAATATGTTCAGTTTTTGTTGTTTGGAGATATATAAAACCTTATAAATACTGTAAAACGGAATTTGAAAAAGAACCAAATAAAGAATATATTTTAATGTTATTTAAAAAAAGTTAAGGGGAATAATTTTCTATTGTTTTCATACTTTTACATTACATTAAACTTAATTTGGCTGAATCCAAAGCGATCCAAAGAGACTTGTGATAAGTGAAAAACACAAATAAGATTCATACTCTGAACAACAAGGAAAGTGCACTGTCAACATATCTAACAAAAATACCCAGCGATTCATATGCTATCCTAAAAAATATTGTTTTTGTAACCAAAGATTATTCTTACATCCTGTTTCCCTTAATACCAACTTGTTGTTTTGAAATAAGTGTTAGTTATTTTAGGATTGAGAATACTCCTCTGTGTTTACATATCTTGGAAGTGCTAACAATTTCATATTTTCACTTTCAAGCACGAGAACATTTTTAGAGTTGCAGTCCAGAAACAACAAAGGCAAAGGCAGACTAAATGTTGCCTTCTTCGCAGTGCCATGTATTCTCAGCAGAGGGAGCTGGAGGCTCCAGGATTAAGGACCCGGGAAGGGTCCACAGAGGATTATTTCTCCATCTTAAATCTTGTCATCGCTCACAAACCAGCCAGTGTATCAGACTTTTAGTGTTAGCTGGATTCACCTGTCATTCTCCATCAGCAGAGCCAGGCGGCCATAGTCCCACGCAGCCTTCCTCAGACAGGAGAAGATGAGCAGCAGGAACTGTAACAGAGACCCAGAATATGGAAGCATGAAGTACCAAGTCTGATTTACACAAACACATCCTCATCTGATACAGGCCTTATGGTAAACCTTTATCATACAGCTTGATTTGAAAGCTATGGCTCGTCTCTGCATTCTTATGATTAGTCTACAAATAACACACAGGTTCACAATGGAGCAGCAGCAGCAGCTATAATGAGCCATCTTCCTTCTATAGAGTGGTACCGTGGTTGTCTTGGAAACTACGAGAGACAGGTCAACATCCCTCAAGAACACATGCTGTTCACCGCAGCCAAATTAGTGTGGTCAATAGCAAGATTAAATATGAATAGACTCAATTCTGCCACAAACGAGGAGCTTACAATGAAGTAAAAAAGCTCATTCAGTGAAACATCATAGCACACAATAGTGGATTCAGGCTGAAAGCCCTGGTTAGAGATGAGAGCATAACTGGGTAATGATGGATTACCCATTCAAATTGAGTGAAAGTGATGATGAATATTTGATTTTAATTACAGCATTAAATCATTCACTCATTTGAGTTTAAAAAGGCATTTGGTTTAGTGGGCAGGGATAAATATTGGATGTGATCTCGAGCCACGCAGAGTATCAGGACAGCCTTCACTAGGCTAGTAGCTGAATAATGAGAGCGTGTTCGCATTAGCAGTCAGGGTTCAAACTGCTTCTTTAAATGAAAATCCCTATATTCCTTGCTCAGTCCTCTGTGTCCGCGCCCTTCCTGTTGTTTTGTTTCTTTGGTCTTGATGCGTGGGCATGCTCTCCTTAAGTCCCACTGATGATTTATTATTACTCTGTATAATGATGATGGAGTGAAGAGGTGTCATTAAGAGACAGCCCTCGCCCCTTTGCGTTGTCGTGACAACTAGGCAGCCACAGAACGCGCCAATTAAAACACAGGAGTGGCAGATTGAGAGTGATATCAACGCAGAGATCAAGCTTGACAAGGCCTGACAGCCCATCATCATCTGGTGACAGGAGGGGAAATATGCCACTACAGTGTGTTTGGAAACACTGGATACACTCCATTACACTTTGTGAGAGGAAACATGTTGATCTATAAGATTCAGATCCCGCTTGTTTGCGGGATCTAGTAAATTATTTCTAGATCCAAAAGCCTGACAAATACATCGCTCCACAGTGTTTTCCAATTTTAAGTTCAGTGTTTATAGAGCTGCACCAGACAGATAAGTTGATCGACAAAAACATTACAAGAAACTTTATAGATAATCAATAAATGGTAAAATATTTGTATTATTATTATATTTGGTTTGAACAGACTAAACTAGAGATTTATAAACTTTGGCAAACTGGGATGAACATGTTCACTATTTGCAGATATTTTATTGCCCAAGCGAATCTACAAAATAATCTTCCAATTCATCGCTAATGAAAATTATCTTTTTTTGCAACACTAGTATTAGTTGAAAGGTCCCATGTCATGGCCATTTCTACTGATCATAATTCAATTGTTGAGGTCTACTAGAATAGATTTACATTGTTCAATGTTCCAAAATCACATTGGTGTCTCATACAGCATCTCTGTATAGTATATTCACTCTCTGTCCTTAACGGCTTGTTGGAGCTCCTGCCCCCCCCCCCCCCTCCTATGAGCCCAGTGTGCTCTGATTGGTCAGCTCGCTTACTCTGTTCTGATGAGTCCACCACCGTTACAGCGGAACATCAGTGAT